AAGAATTCACGGCTGTAAAATATTCCATCACATGATCACAGAATAATTTCACATGTTAATACCTCATGCTAATTTATTCCATAATTTTAGAGTTTTTAAGGGCTCTTATTACTCTTCTAGAACTACCCTCGCATGTTTTTTTTTAAACTTTAAATCTTGAAATTATTGTAGATTCACATGCAGTTGTAAGAGATAACACAAAGAAATCCCTTTATCCATTGTTCCACAGTGGTAACATATTGCAAAACTGTAGCACAAAATTACAACCAGGATATTGACATTGATTCAGTCCAATAGAGAACAATTTAACCAGGGCAAGGACACCTCACGTTACCCTTTTATAGGCACATCTACCTCCCTGCCACCTCCACCCCTTTGGTAACTTCTTCCTGCATATGATTTCCTTGTTCATCCAACTTGTATGGTTGGATCATTTCAAGAATGTTACATAAATGGACACATAGCGTCTGTCCCCTTTTTAGTCATCCTTTTTCCTTCAGCATAATTCTCTGGAGACTCACAGAGGTCTGAGAGTATCAGTACATATCACTCCTTTCCTTCTTTTCTTTTTTATTGCTGAGTACTATTCTATACAATAGGTGTTCTACATTTTGTTTCACCATCCATCCACTGGAACACATTTAGCTGTTCCCAGTTTTGAGCTACTACAAATAAAGTTGCTATAAACCTTAGCACACAGACTTTCATGTGAATATAAGTGTTCATCTCTCTGGGGAAATATGCCCAGGAGTGCAACTGCTGAGTCGTGTTGTAGCTGCACATTTAGGTAAGAACCCCCCTCCCCTACCCGCATCCACAGCTGGAATCTCAGCTCTCTGAGGACAAGAACTGTCTGTGTCATTAGCTGCTGGTTTCCCAGGCTGGTGTCCCGTTTTACATCCCCATCAGCAATGCATAAGTGATTTGGTTTCTTTGCATCCTTGACAGCACTTGTTTTTATTTATTTTTTTTGGTGCAGATGTTGGGGGGGGTGCACATCAGTGGGCCTGAGTGTTTCCAGGTTGCCAGATTCTTCAACCCCAGGTCTAAGATATATAGGCAAAGAGACCCCAGGAGCTCACCATCGTGTTATTCTTCCAGTCCCTCCCTTGTCTGCCTTCTCTCCACCTTTCATAGTCCTTTTGTTTGTTTTCCATATTATTACCGACATTTTCCATTGTGCTTAGTGGGAGGATAAGGAAAAGTACGTGTTCTCTACCTTCCTGGAAGCAGAAGCCTTATGTTCTTTTTAAAAGCCTGTCTAAGATGAAAAAATATTTCAAGGGCAGGGCTCCAGTTCAAGCTGAGGATCTCCATTTGGAAAACCGAAACTCTCCCTGCGGGGGAAGCGCCCCAGGCAGACAACCAGTCTCCTTGCACTGAGCCTGCAGGTCTTGTCATCCTGCAGCTGCTGTCCTTCCAAAGCTTGAGACGCGCTGTGCTAGGGAAATCCAGGAAGCGAAGGCCAGAAGCGTCCTCAGAGACTTCTGGAGAAGATGCCGCAGAGCCGAGCAGAGAGCTGGGGAGCTGCCCCACTCCTGGAGGCCCTCTGCTCTGTGCCTGCTGCAGTCGGAGCCCCTGTCCCAGTGAGGAGGCACTCACAGTCGTCTCCCTTCTTCAGAGGAGACCCAGTGGGGCAGGTTCTCCCTCACAGGGACCACCCGACGTCCTACCAGTTTATTTCCACCTTCAGCTCACGTGGCTGTTTTCCACGTTATGTCCAGGAAGGTCAGTAAATGTCCCCTGTGTGTCCAGCCCTGGGGTCGCAGAAAACAGTCATCTATCTCCTTTTGTTCCCTGCAGGGGACCCCCGGTCTGGGAGCTGGGGCACACCCCGATGCAGACCCTTCCACCCACTGCAGTGAGCACTGGGGAGCCCCCAGGACAGACGCCACCCGCCCCTGCACCCTTCCTTAGGGGACTTCACCCACTGCCCTCCAGCACCCTGGTCTCCCCGCTGCCCCTGGTCATTTCGTCTCCTGCGGTCTTCACCCCCTGAACTGGTTGCATTTAGCGATTTGTCTGTATTTTGGATGGTCTGGTCCCCCCCACTTCCCCCCCGCTGGGATTTCAGCCTGAGGACAAGGTCTGTGTCTGGCTCATTCGCTGCTCTATTTCCAGGGCCTCCATCAGTGTGAGGGGCCTGGTAGGTGTGTGACAAGCAGCTCCTTTCCTAATCCTTCACCCCCAAACCTCTCAGGGATTCAAAAGCCCAGCGCAGATCCATTTGAGAACTCCAGTGCACGTCTATTTAAACACTTCCTCCAGTTCTCTCTGGAACCCTGCTCTGGCGGACCCGGCCTGAGGCCCGCAGTCTGGAGGGAGCAGGATTCGCTCTCTCGGGGCTCCTCCTCCTTCCTGCTGGTTTGCGGGGGTCCCGAGGGGAGGGCTGAGGGGAAAGAGCCCTCGTCTTTTTGCCCTGCTGGTGCCGCGGTCCCCTCCTGACGGTTTCCCTGCTGGGGGCCCCCACACGCTGTCTCCCTCCGGGCGTAGCTGCGGCGGTCACCCCCAGAAGGGTCCCTGCAGGGCTCTCCACCTTCCGCCCTGGGGCCTTGCGGTCCTGCACGCCGCCCTCCCACGGCACCTCCTTCACGAGCAGGCGCTCAGCTCCCTTTCTCCATCTGCCTCCCAGGGCTGTTTTTCTCACCACATGCCTCTCGTGCCCCCTCCACCTAAGCTGAACTGAATAACCCAACCCCAGTGTCTCCCCACCCCCAGCCCCGCTTGATCGTCTCTACATTTTTTCATGTGCTCTCTCTGACTGAAATCCATCCCCGCCCCCTCTGCACGTCCACCTGGACTCAGCTTCATGGCCAAGGGCACACAATCCTTCATCATCAAGCCTTTCCTCAACCCTCTACTGATGTCCCCAACCCCGGTGCCCACTGGAATCACCTAGGGAGCTCTGCACTGTCAACACCTGCACCCCGCCTCCAGAAATTCTCATTTAGTTGGTCTAAGTGGGTCTGGGTGTGGGCACTGGTTTGAAAAACTGCCCAGGTCATTCTAATATATATGCAGTCAGCCTGAGAGCCTGTGGGCAAGTGACATTCACTTATTTTTTTAGGAGAATACTTACCTTCTCCTCTGGCCCTTATCCACGATGAGACTGTTAGCATCTCACATCTGATTCATTTTTGCAAATCGCTCAGGGCTCCCTGTAGTGCTCGGCAATTAAAAAAATAGTAACAGCTAACATGTATCAAATGCTTACTTAGGGCTACACATTGGCCTAACTCCTTTATGTGGGTTATCCCATTTGCTCCCCAACCCTAAGGGGCAGTTGCTACTCATTATCCTCCTTTTACAAACGCGCACACTGAGGCACAGACCTAGGGAGAATGCCCAGGACTGCGCTGTTGGGAAAGGTTCAGCGCCAGCGGAGTCGCTCAGCCGGCTCCAGAACCTGTGCTAGTGCCATGTGGCCTCTGCACGGCTGATGCATCCGCAGATTTCCTCCACGCAGTTACTGAGTGAAGATGAGTACATGAGAGATGGAAATAAATCACTTTTTCTTATTCAGCACCTCAATTAGGACTAGTGGGGCATTTCTCAATTATATTTATTCCTTGTACCACTTTCATAACAGCTCATCTTCAAAACAGGTTTGATTATTTATGTAATATTTTTTATTTAAACTTAACATTTTCCTTTTACTCAGCTGCACCTCAGCAAAAATACCCACAGTACCAAAGGTTCAGTGCTATAAATACCTTTCTAAAGCACATTGAAAGAATAACCTCATTTGTGTGTGTGTGTGTGTGTGTGTGTGTGTGTGTGCATGAATGCACCACAGAAATTAGAATCACTGCACCAGTAGATATACCAGCTCCTCTGCTATAAATAGGATTTTCAGCCATCTTTCTTATCAACCAACTTAACCACCTGGATCCGAATTATACTTTGGAATAACAAAAAGGTCAAGTCATTATTTGAAAATGTTGTTTAAAAGTGCATCTCTTCCAAAGCAAAGGGATGGATTTTTGCCTGAAATTAACCAGGAAACCTTATGAGCTTGTTAAGGTCATGGACCTTACCTGCTTTTAGTTTTATGGAGTTCCAGCTCTTTATGAGGCATTTCACAAAAAGCACTTCCCCATTTAGAAAGTACATGGGGCCCTAGAAAACCTTCATGTTATTATTACCTTTTAAAATATCCACAAAAACTGTTTATGTAATTTTACAGCCATTCCACAAAAGCCCCATTTTTAAAGCCTACTCTTCTGGCCTGGTCTTTGGCATTAGGCTGATGTAGCTCCGTGACCTATGTGCCAAGTGGGTGCGGAAGAGAACAGGAGTCTAGAAACGCAGGGAAGGGAACTGGTTCCATGGATGGCTGGAGCTAGAAAAACTTCAGTGGCAGGAAGTACACTCAAGCTCCAGGCGGAAGAATGGATGGGTTTGAGTGACCTGACTTGGTCCAGGGTCATGGAAGGGGAGATGGGAAAAGGAGCACAGATTCAGAATTCAGCCCACCCTCCCAGGGGAGCTATAGGAGCAAATCAGCCCCTGTATCACGTCCCTTGCACCGATCAACTCCCAGATCCCGGCAACGGAATTATTTTAAAACATCAAGTACATTTTTTTAAGTTGACATGATTCACCACTGTGGGGATTGTGGAGGAAATCAAACAGAGGCGTCTCTGGGGGTAACGTACAAATCATTAGACTAGGAGACCACAAAGATGGAAAATACTGGCATCATACACAACCTCTCTGCAGAATTGGGAGAAATGGGTTTTTGTTTGGAATGCAACGTGCACTGCTGTGTTTATTACCCTCTGCCCCTCCAACTAACTGCAAATGCTGAATATGTTAGAAAGAAGGGGAGGGGAAGGAAGCCTGACTTCTCATAAGCTCCTGATTGTTCTATGCACCCGTGGGCAGAAGAAATATGGATGGAATTAGGGGGTAAGGGAGAAAGAGGCACGAGGCAAAAATATTGCTTTGAGAGTCCACATTCAACCATTGCAACTGTAAAAACCCTGTTTTGCTCCTAGGACATAGTTGACAGCAAGGAGCAAGAAGGAAAGGAAATCACAACTGTGACTTGCTCTGCCTCAGGGGACCCTGAAGAACTAGAGATTGCAAAGGAGGACCCCCAGACAAGAAGTACAGCAGATAATAATACTTCCATCATGAGCTTTTTTAAAACTCTGGTAAGTCATTTCCTACTCCTCTTCCTCTCAATTCTATTGCTCAAAAGATATGTGAATTCTAAGAATAATGCGTATTTGGATATTATTGTACCGAGTAGAATATCAGCCTGCTGCAGTGAGCACTGGAGAGCAGGGACCAATGTGCTTGTCAGGGAAGGGTTACGTCAGCCTGGCAGGGAGGGGGCCCTGGGAGCTGGAAACCACGGTGTGCACAGCGGGTGTCCAAACTGTGCGACATGAGCTGTCCTAATGGAACTCTATTGCAATTGATGTCTTTTGGTCATTGGTCATAAAAATACTTGGGAAATACCTCCATGAGTTGTTGACCTATCAAAGTGGTTCTGACGGTCAAATGGCAAATAAACCTTATCATCATTTAGATCTTGTGACATCGAAATCTACTACTTTGGCTGGAAGGAGGCGGGGATCGGCGTCTGGCATTGCTAGCTTAATTCTGACGCCTCAGTGTAGAGCCCACAGCCTGGCACATGCCAGACACTTGAAAAAGGGCCCAGTGAATGAATGCATAATTAAACAGATGGCTCCAAATGTGTTTGGGCTATGTCCAAACAGAAGGACTCACTTAAAAGATAAAGCAAAAAAGTCATCAGAATATACCACAAGCACCAAAGGTTGTGCGTTTGTTTGGATTAGTGGTAAAATTGATGGAAAGCCTTGGCCTTCCAGGAACCGATTTTGAATGTGGCCGAGTTCTGTGGTGAATGTATAAGATCTGATTCATTTCATTGTAAAACACTAAATTTTTTAAACTTTTGCATACCTAGGTAGTATCCAGAAGTCCATGGGTTTCTCCTGAACTGAAAGGACTTCTTAAATTTATCTGTATAGTGACGTAGCCCACCTTAAAAATATCTATATATCTATGAAATAAAATCGCCCTAAGGCGCTATGATTTTTAACCTTTGGTTTTCTCAAACTTTTAAGGTTTCACCTAACAAAGCTGAACCAAAAAAAGATCTGGAAGACACGGTAGGTAGTTCAAAGTGTGTTTATTGTTCGAGTTTGTGTACAGAATTGAATATGAATTTGCATCTGCTTCTTTGTTTCTTGGTGTGTGTGTGTGTGTGTGTGTGTGTGTACACACACATACATATTTAGCAATTTAATAGTGCTGTTAGATTGTCTTTAAAATGTTTCATTTACATTGATGGTATTTCTATGAAATTTTTAGCTGGAAGCTTGAAATACATGCTAATTCAGGTTCAATAATGGCACAATCACTAATTTATTACATTGACTAGGAAGAAAATACTCATAATTACATATCATCTTAGTGTTTTTAGTTGTGTGTAGAGAGACCCAGGGAATATTAGCCACTGGAAATTAAATTTCTGTGAATAAGAGGTGAGACTTAGATTATGGTAGAAGTAAGCTGCTGTATTTGTGGTTTATAAAAATGTGTTCATTTGTGTTTTCAATGTAATTTAAAAAAATAAATGTCAATCGCAAAGGCGATTGTTTGGTAAAATGAACTGGTCACCCTTGGACACTTGCTGAGTGAAGGAACCTGTAGGGGAGTCAGGATGCCCTAGAAAGCTTGAAGTTTTCCACTGTCATCCTAGAAATTCAGCCAGTTTTCCCTTCCAAGTAAATTTTGTTTGGAACAACTACATCCTAGAGATGTTTTCCCTTTATACTTGACAGAACTGATTATCTCTTGTGGAACATGTGGTTTAAATTTCATGGGAATCTTGAGCAAAGTCTAACTTGGCGACAGAGAAGTGTCTTGCATCCTTCTCTCGGTACCTGCAAGTGCTTCGGAAGACACTGGGCCCAAATAAATGGCTCGGCCAGCCCAGTACATCTGTTACCTGTATTTGAAGGGGTTAAACTGTGGAAAGGGTCCTGAAATTTGTCTCAGGGTACCTGTGTTTGAGCTACTTGATAGCTGCGGGATCCTCACCGGTCTGAACCCCAAACTCAACATCTATAAAACCGGAAAAATAAAAATTCTATCTCCCTGAACCCAGGGTCGAATGAAGGTGTGACAATGTCTGGTAAACCAAGGCAGGTGATCGCTAGTTCCATAATCACTGCAAGACAGGTTGAACACCATGAGTGTATTTGTATTATACTGATTGTTTCCTCTAGAATTCTCTTCTTCCACTGGAAAGAAATACATGTATCTGAAGCATTGACCCGGGTTTTCCTATAAAATTATTCATTTGCCACAAGGCAGCTAAGGTCACATTCAGTGAATGGTTGGGTCCAAACATTTCTTTTGATTGTGTGTCTTGCATTGTTAGAAGTCACATAGCACAATAGGCTAAAAGAAGTGTGGATATGTGGGTGTGTTGTATGGCTTTCCAATGACCTGATGCACTTAACACTCATCAGCTGCTTATACAGACTGTTGCCCACCCAGAATGTGGTCCGGATGGAACACACCTCGCTGATAAATCTCCCTGCCCTGCCCACAGAGCTGTGGGTCACTGATAGCAGATCCGAGCCTCAGAGAAGGTTCTGGGAATGGAGGTTGTTGATGACACCCACAAACAGATCTCTTTTTCCAAACCTGCCTTTTTAACATCTTTTCTACTAAAAGTTTTGGAGTCACACTTTTGAAACATCTATGCCCTTGGTCCATCTTCCCATTTGGCCCTGGGTGATTCTTCGTGCACTACACGCACCTCACAAAATCCTCTACCAATTGTAACTTGAATCAACAATTCTGAAGGATTGTAGGTGGGCTATCTCAGTTCCCACTCCCCTCCCTCCTCTTTGGCTCAGTGCACTCATTCATACTAGAAACTTCTTTTGCGTGGGAGAAATGACCATCTAGAAGTCAGTTGAAATTTTTGTGGGTGAGGCTGCCTCCCTTAAGTTTCTATTGCTGAATAAAAGGAAATCCGTTTGAGAAAGAAATCAACTAAGTGGCAGTATGTCGCTTGACTCTGGGATGCTAAAATAAATCGTTTGTTATCAGGTATTTTTTTCTTTCCTATGTAGTAATGGCATTTAGATACTTAAAACTATCAAGTAGGGACTGTGCTATCTTTTTTATTTCTTAGATCTTTCATCTGTGTATTTTATGTCCTATGGACAGAGTTTCAACGTCCTGTCATTTTCTTTAGCAAATGGAGTTGTATTCTTCCGGGTCACTGAAATAGGTCGCCTTGTTGGAAATCAATGTGCACTTGGGAGATGGTGAATATACTCTTCAGCAAACTGCCTTTCAGAGTTTAAAAAAAAGATAAACATTCCCATGATGTCTTGTGGTTGGGGAGTGGAGGTACTGTGCCAGCAGTTAATTGTTGAAGTATTTTAATGCACTTAAAAACAACAGGAAGAAAAAATGGATTTTGCTTAAAAACAAAGTTCTAAGCTGTGACTGCTGTTGCCCAAAAGGCATCCAAAACAGAAAGTGTCTGTGATGGACAAGCTGGGCCCACGACCTCCGAGAATCGGGCGAAAAGCACCAAGAAAAAGCACCTGCATAGCCCCAGGCTAGGATTCGCCTTTAGACAATTCTTTAGGCATAAGGTCTGTATGTTGTTAAAGGATGAGGGGGATAAAAAGAGCCCTGGTCCTCACATTGCTGCCCATCCTGAACCCACCCAGCTCTGCTCCTGCAAGACAGAGCCCCAGGTGGTTGGGATCCTTAGGGGGCAATTAAAGATTAGTGAATCAACTGTCAATCATTTTTCTTAAAGTCTCCATAGCTATAAATAAACATTTCAGGATAGTTTCTTCCCAGTGTGGACCAGGGTTCTGAAATTGCTATTCTAACCCAGTGTTTCCCAAATGTCAAAATCACGCATACCATCTTCACCATTTTTGTCAGATAGAACATTCTTTGCTTGATACTTTTATATGAAATAGAATCATTTCCTATGTAAAGGCTGTAAAGCCTTCGCTAGAGGAAGCTTTGCATTATAGCATACATGGAAAACCAGATTCATTTTTCATAAGAAGAAGATAACCATTAATATGGCCATTCTGGCTACCTTGTTTGTGTTAAGCCCCCAACCTAATGCCCTTTCTAGATTTATTAAAAGATAATTGGCCAGCAGTAAAGAAATGTTAAAGACATACAAGCACCAGACCAAGCTTTTCTCCCAAATGTTTTTAGAAGGATTAAAATGACAGTTGAGACAGGAAAAGTATTTTCACTATTTCAATGTTTGCTGTCATATTTCTGCACAACCTAAAATAATCTCTGGTCCCACCCATGGTATGCTTTCCACAGTTTGGGAAATATTCTTCTAACCTCAGGATAACAATTTTATCTTTCTGCAATCTGTTCCATCCATTCTCAGTATTAACTAAGCTTATACTGAACCCAAATAAAGTCCAGGCAGAACAAAACAATGAATGAAGGCAGCGCAGTTCCATGTCCATGCCCTTGGGAAGTGGGGACAGCATGGAAGTCAGTTTGGGATATTTCACACTTCTAATGTCTAAGAAGATGCCAGTGTTTGTCTGAAACCATCAATTAAAATGATCCCTGAACTGGGCCAACAAGAAATTTGTTTAAATTTTCAACCATTCTCCACTAACTTGAATGGACTTATTAAAACCCTTCCCCAGTTAGATGTTAGCGCCCCAGCATTGTGTATGCAAGTGAAAATTCCATAAAGAGATCTACAGGCTGAATCTATGTTTTGCATAAACACACTATCTTCTGAAGCCACCTTCAGTTTCCATCCAAGCTTATTTTGTTCTGTGAACAGAGAAGTGGGTGGAATGATTTGATATTACAAAGTGGAAAGGAAAATTTAAAAATTAAAAAGAAAAAACAGTGGCTCCACTGCACATGAGAGACAGTTTGGTAACTGCTAGCGAAACTCATCATAGATCTCCTGCAAAGGAATGTAGCTGATTCCCGTTTGCAGCTTCCGTGAATAGGAAGCCTTAAGACTTGAAGAAGTGTGATATTTCCCCCTCATATTTACATTTCATGCATTGCAAAGTGTCGTGTCTCCAGAATCTCTTCGGCTTGCCTAAGTGGATCACCCACATTCGATAGTCCTAGGGCCGCCCCAGGTCATTGGCATCACATCCTGCCACTGAGGTGCATTTGGGGCAAGGATAGGATTCTGGAAATACTGGGAAAACAGACAGGAAGCATCCCTTTCTGGGATTCTGTAATACCAACATGAGGAATTCAGGATTTTGCCTTGAGTTACATTTGGTCTATGTTCTACATAAAAGTAAAGTAAGGGGACAATCCCCAAATGTCCTTAATTCTCATTTATACAGAGGTGGGTAGAGCTCATTGCCTTTCGCCTCCATGCCCACGGCAGTGTATTTCCTCTCTCACTGATTATTCTGTCATACAGAACAATAGGAAAAGAGAGCCATTAAAACTGACCGGCCTGATTCCATCAATGGTGGGATCTGCCTGATTCTAGGAAGTATAATACTCATCCTGATTTCACTGTTAAGCTGTGACAGAAAGGAGTAAATCCAAAGATGAAACATTATCTTCTAGTTTGGCTACATTAAAAAAAATATGTTACCATTTCTGGCTACCTCTTTGGTCCAGTTCTTGAGATCTCAATTTTCCTTCCCATGAAAAGCATTTTCTTAATTTAAAAAAGTGGGGAGGCCTGGAATTAATACGTAAGTTTATTGTCATAAATAATAAGGGCACCAGCTTTCCTTTGCTGCGTCTGAATCTTTTTCTCCTGGTTTAATTACATGCGATGCCTCAGAATCACACATCACACTTCCTCTGAACACTTGACATGACAACATGCACACAGGCAAGGCATTGTTTTAGAATGGTTTTGCCATGTCCAGAAATGCTCCTGTGCCCTCTCAGGTTTTCCTGACGCCCACCTTCTTTGAAAGGCAGCTGAAATATTAGCAGCTGGCTCATGCGGTTCCTAAGCTCTGCCACGTATTCATTGCTTTCTGGTTCTCGGTGTAATGCTTACATCTTACTAATCCTTCCCCTCTCCCACAGCCAAGTGTGAAAACAGGAAGAAACCTTGTTAGGGAAGATGCTAAGGTCACTTGATCTGCAATCTCCAAATCGAATGAATACATTAGGTAGGGTTGCCAGGTAAAATACAGATTCCCAGTGAAATTCAAATTTCAAATAAACAGCAAATCGTTTTTTGGCATAAACAGAACTAAGTCCCAGCAAAATTCTTCTTTGTTGATCTAAAATTCAAATTTAACAGGGCATCCTGTATCCTTGCCTGTATTTGCTAAATCTGGCAACCCTACCCACGAGACGGGCTCCAAAAAACCTGGATAGAATGTTTGTGGTCTCCTCAGTAATGCAGACAGAGTGGTAATTCAGTTGGTGCTGGCAGAGCACCATTTGGGGCACTCCTCCGGTGGGCAGGGGGAGAAAGAGCTGATGGTGGCCTCTGCCTTCAAAGCTCAGTAAGGAGGGGATGGGTAGGTGGAAATGGAACATGGCAGAATCCTGTCTGAGTGTCTGTCTCTGTTCCCTTTCATACAATTTTTTATTTAATCATCTTCTCAATGCCAGTTTTGTGCCAGACACGGAGCCTGATGGGCTCTAGGGATATAATGGTGACCGAGATGTAATAGCTCTTACCTGAGATGCACAACAACTACACAAATACATCAGCATCATATTCCCATACATCAAAGAGTTATGTCCTTGTAAGGTTTTCTAAGGGTCTCTGAGTCTGTTCCTAGAGCAAAGAGAAGAGAATTGTCCATTTCCAAATGACACTGAGAAGAGTAGATATGTTTCTCAATCATTTTCTCATTGTTAGCTCTCTACCATGAAGGTTTGTTAGGATATTTTCTCTGAATTGCCCTTTCCCTTGATATTTTCATGAAACACATACACTGTACATCTGTTCATGTCCTATGAAGTGCCATGGACAATGTTATTATCTATTTTTTTCATAATACACCCCAAGAACAAGGGCGATATCTCCTCCAATTCTCCCCCCTGCTGGAAGATAGTATTGCCCTGTCGGCATGCACGGTGCAGAGGATTCTATCCTTCCGTGGGAAGAATAGCACAGGGAGTGGGGAGACCTTGGCTGGCTGGAGGCAGTGGAGATTAGAGGAGCTCTTAGAATTTGTGTTTGGGTATCTGACTCCCTGGATTTTGATATCAACTCTGTCTATTAGTGCAATCCTGGGGAAGTTTTTTAACCACCTGGGACCCAAATGGACATGATGACTAGATCCTTCCTCATAAGACTATTAGTAGAATATCCAGTTGCTCAGAACAGTGCCTGGCACTGGTGGCACCTTTTATTGTTGTTATTAAATCAAAGTTACAAGTTGGAAATTATGTCTTGAAAACATGACTACAGTCCAAAGGGACTAAGCAGAGATAGGAGGCTGAGGGCAGCAGCAGAAAATGCTAACATCAGCCAAGCCAGATATGTGGGATGGACTAGGTAAACTGGCCCTGTCCTGGAGAAAATTCTAGAACTGTGGCAGGCTCTTTCTGTGACCCCTACAGGGCTTTGGCTGAGTAGGCTGAGCACATGAAGGGGCAGCCGTGAGCTGGACAGATGCCGCAGCATCTAACGTGTCAAAAGCCAAGCAACAGGTGTTAAGTCACAGCAGCGTGGGGTCACTGAGCAATGGAGCATCTACTGCAATGAATTGGCAAGATGGAAGACTGACTTAAACCTCTCCTTTCTTAGAAAAGGAAATGAGATCAGCTCCAGTCCTCCAGGTTCTTGGTCCAAAATGGACCCCTGAGTGAATGGTGATTCTCCCGAGAAGGCAGAAGGGAGGCTGATGTTGGGAGGTGACCAGCCTTGGCCATTTGTTCTTTCTGCTTCTGTCTGCCCCTCAGATGCTCACCACGGTCCGCTGTGTGGGGGACACCCTGCCTTCCCAGTTAGCGCCCCATCGCCTTCAGATCAGGCAGCTGTCCCCTCCTCAGGAGCACCTTCCTGGCTGGTCTGGACTGATCTCATTTCCTGGGCTAGACCTTTTTTTTAAGCACCAAATCCTACTTCCCATCTCCACCCCCAGCACTTGTCACAGTTGAAATTTTACATTTATTTGTGGTATTTTGTTTAGAATCTTTCCTTCCATGAGGACACAGAGTCCCACAATTTAATACTCACCACAGCTCTTGGAAGGCACGCAATCCTTTCTTCTTGACTAAATGAACAAATAATACTTTCTCATATTTTCTGAAAAAAGAAAGCCAGCTACTCAGCGGACGGCAGGTCCTCTTTAATTTAATTAGCATTTAGAGCAAGAACAGCAACGGTGCCCATGACCATTTGGACACATGTAACATACACATGTGAGCTCGGTCCCTTTGATGTCACTGTTTATAAAATGCAGAAGTTAATCTCAAATCCTGCTATTACGTAGTTATGTACTCTTTAAATGGAACTAGGGTTACTCCAGGATCAACTACCACAAAAGTGATTTCCATATTTTGGCCCTTTATCTCCCCATTCAAACTTGAAACATGCTTGATAAATGACTCCATCTTAATATCAAAAAAGCCAGCACAGAAAAGATTGTGTCTTGCTTCTAAGACTAAATTCATGTCACTTGCAAACACGCTTTTGCGAGGCAATGTGCTGGGTGGGAAGAGCATCAGATAGGAGCCAGGAGTCTAGACTGGAGGCCAGGCTGTGCCCCTGATTTAATGTTGGGCAGATTAGGGGCCTCCGTTTCCCCATCCACGAAAATTCAGGCATTGGACTAGATGGTCTGTAAGATTCTTTCCAACATTAAAAATACTATAAAACTTCATGAATTTTTCCACACCCCATTTTTACATCCAATTTTTTTTTTCTTTTAGTCAGATAGTGTAGTCAAAGATGGGACATCCCTGGAATTTAAAGATTTGTTTCACGAGTCTCCAGAGCAAAAATCAGAAGACAAAGATGTGTAAGATGAAGAGGTTAGGTGAGGTGAACTTAGGAACATTTTCAATGTCAATAGTTATTCATGTTGTGATAAACTGAGACTCTAGTCCCCCTAACTCTTCTTTTATTCCATGACTCAGGAGGTGGCAGAACTTGGGGAGTAATAGCCCAGTTACCGCGGAAGTCAGATGTCCTGGAATTGGACCTCAGCCTGGCGATGGGGTGGGGTGGGGCCAGAGGGGAAGGGACAGAAGGAAGGGGTGGGGAGAGGAGGAGAGAGGAGAGAGAGGGAGAGAAAGAGAATAGGGATCAAATGGATAAGATTTGAAGTTTCAAGTCAATCATCTATCCAGTTATATCTAGTTTTGATGTAGAGGCTGCATCTGAAAGTGAAGAAATAGGGCTTGTGGGTACCCTTCCAGCGTAACGGCCCTTCGCTGAGTTCCAGCCTAGCTGCCCTACACGTACTTTATAGCCAAGATCAGGGATCACTAAGTGGAGAGTGGGAGGAAATTTTCAGAACTTCTATGTGAAATTATAGTTATTTTAGCCCTTGTTTAACTTCTGATTTGGATTAGTAAAATAATTCACATTTCTAATATAAACAAATATACTTACATTGGAGGTGCACGTTCAAGTGATTTTACTCATGGGAAGATGAGCAAAATCATTTGAGGACCAATGACTCAATACGAATTAACATTCTAACAGCCAAGTGCCTCTTACCATCCCCTTTGTTCCTAATGAGCTACTTACATGAGCATGATAAATAATGCTTCTATGTCTTTGCAAAAGGAAAATATCTTGAGTGTTTCCAGGATTTCAATACAAGTCCACATTTGCATAGAGTGTTTAAGAAAATACAGAAAATTATGAAGAAAACTAACACGCAGAAAACCCTAGCTCACATGTATAAAAAAGAAATCTCTCACTTTGGAAACCCTGAGATCACTTAAAACTTGTTTAACTCTCTAGGGTGCCGAAAAGTCACCCACCACTTCAGCTGACCTCAAGTCAGACAAAGCCAACTTTATACCCCAGGAGACCCAAGAGGCAGCCAAGAAACCTACACCCACTGAAACAGCAAAGGAAGGGGCCAAGGAAAAGGGGGGACCCACCTCTCTGCCTCTGGGCAAACTGTTCTGGAAAAAGGTAAGTCCTATTTTCAGGATTTGCAGAGTGTTTGGGGCCAGGAGGACAGGAGAAATGGTTTCAGTTGGGCTGATGCATGTGCTCAACAATGTGTGAAGATTCTTTTCCTTCTCCAAAATGATTCAACTAGCCATTGAGTTGAAAACTTCTAATTTACTCCGGGGAAGGGTGAAATGCCTGACCTGTTATAAGTATGTTTCGTGGGAAAGAAAGGAAATGAGAAAGTAGGATGTTTCGCTCTTGGAATTAGCTTCGTTCATGGCAGAGGGCTGTGGTGTTCTCATGATTTTATTTTCTTTCTCAAATGCTTTCTCGCTCTGGCTTCTGACTGATTCCCTCTGGGCGCTTCCACCCTGGCGAGACGAGCCACTCCTGGGCTCACTGCTGCCCTTCCCCCGGCACAATAATCTCAGCCATGAGCCCTGGAGCTCAGTCTCCTTTGGAAAACCAAGGTGACCACCAGTCACCATAGGACCAGCATGCAGTGGGCTCTGTGATAGGAAAATTCAAGCCGCTGTCTGATTGATTCCCCTCTAGAATGAAGGTGCCATGCAAGGAAGGGGGTTGGAGGGAGCTGAGTAGTTCTGAGAGCTGTTCCTTGATCACCATCGCCGAGCAAACCCCAGCTGCCACACGTGTTCAGAACTCTTGCCTGGTTTAAATGCGGCCAAAAGATGAGCAAGAAGCCGTGGGTGAGCAGGTGGAGTCAAACTCGGCGAGCTGAGCAAGACTGATTTAGCAATTTCAACAAAACATCCTTCCACTTGGCTCACCGGGCAAGGCAGGTGACGATGACAGATGCCACTGTGGTGGCGGTTTTATTCTTCTGTCCAGAATCTAGCTGGATTTCTGAAACTCCTTCCTGTTTTACAGGAATATCCCTTCTAGGCTCTGCCCAGAACACAGATTCCAAAACTCAGTGAAAGCTTTGGATGATGTCCTGTGGCATTCTGTTTTAATCCTTCTTCCTCGCCAACCAGCACTTAACTCATTTCAAAAAGTCTTTTATCAGCAATGTAATGTAGGGAGTGACTCCCAAATGAGTTATATGTGTATATCAGGGCAAGGGACTTAGGAAACCCACATCAGACATACTAATTTAAATAATTATGTATTTCCAAAGTGTATTAGGAAAATTGAGCTAGCCCATGAAACCCAAGATTCAATGTTTACTTTGCTCAAGGTGAGACTGTATGAATGTAGTGTTAAAAGCAATCCAGTTAAAAGGAAAGTGTTACAAAATTAATGGTAGTGATCTTAAGTAAATTGTCATAACTGTGGCCCTCCAGGAAGCAGACACCAAGACAGAATTGATGTGCAAGAGATGAATTGGAGGAAAGCAGCTGTGGTGGGAAGGGCCAGGAGTGGGTGGAGAGCCCTCAGACCACAGTGAGGGCCTGATGTCTATGAAGGGAGGGAGGTAAGGAGGAGAGGGTCAGAAAGCCTGTGACAGGGTGGTGCTGAGCCCATAGGGCATCGAAGAGCAGAACTTGCCCCTAGGAGCCCCACATTGGGCCGGAATCCTGTGGTGCTCAGCCGTTGCCTGGGAGCAGCCAGGGAGGGCGCGGCCTCAGCATTAGCCCTGCAGGTGTCAGTCGGAGGCTGTCCTTCCTGCAGGGAAATCTGAGCAACACGCCTCATGGTTGTACGGATGGTACCTACAATACGGTCCAAACCACAGAGGAGGTGGGCAGATGCCTGGCATTTGAGGAATGCTAACCTAAGGGCTAGAATTTTGGCATCAGATAGACCTGACTTTGAGTCCCAATCCACCTTGATGAGCCTGAGTTTCCTCATTTGTGAAATGCAAATAATAATAACACCAATGCCATGCAGATGAAGTGGGATTAAATGAAATACTGCCTGGAAAACCCCTAACACTGTGCCTAGCACAAAAATGACCAGTAAATCATTGTATTTATATCCTGTGTGCTCAGAGGGGTTAAGGCATAACCATGCCTACATCTTCACCTTGGGTACCATCCCATTTGGGGAAGCTTCTAAGGCTCACATACTTTACCTTTCTTATCTCTGGCATCTCTACCGGGTAGGCTGGTTCTTCCCATTGGAAATCAAGGTCAGGATCCCTTGACATTCATTTCCCTAATGGTAGAATTTCATGTATTTTGGTCTCACTGCTCTTTACCACTCTCTAGCTTTATTTCTTTAGTTGATTATAAAAATAATGAAGTTAAGAGAAACACAAAACCAAGTCACCTGTAAATCTTGCTTTTCCTTCCTTCATCCAATCAGAAAGAATAACTCTGTAAGGACGTGAAATAGGGACAATCCCTTCATTTAGATTCCAAAACTCAGTGAAAGCTTTGGATGATGTCCTGTGGCATTCTGTTTTAATCCTTCTTCCTCGCCAACCAGCACTTAACTCATTTCAAAAAGTCTTTTATCAGCAATGTAATGTAGGGAGTGACTCCCAAATGAGTTATATGTGTATATCAGGGCAAGGGACTTAGAAAACCCACATCAGACATACTAATTTAAATAATTATGTATTTCCAAAGTGTATTAGGAAAATTGAGCTAGCCCATGAAACCCAAGATTCAATGTTTACTTTGCTCAAGGTGAGACTGTATGAATGTAGTGTTAAAAGCAATCCAGTTAAAAGGAAAGTGTTACAAAATTAATGGTAGTGATCTTAAGTAAATTGTCATAACTGTGGGCCCTCCAGGAAGCAGACACCAAGACAGAATTGATGTGCAAGAGATGAACTGGAGGAAAGCAGCTGTGGTGGGAAGGGCCAGGAGTGGGTGGAGAGCCCTCAGACCACAGTGAGGGCCTGATGCCTATGAAGGGAGGGAGGGAAGGAGGAGAGGGTCAGAAAGCCTGTGACAGGGTGGTGCTGAGCCCATAGGGCATCGAAGAGCAGAACTTGCCCCTAGGAGCCCCACATTGGGCCGGAATCCTGTGGTGCTCAGCCGTTGCCTGGGAGCAGCCAGGGAGGGCGCGGCCTCAGCGTTAGCCCTGCAGGTGTCAGTCGGAGGCTGTCCTTCCTGCAGGGAAATGTGAGCAACATGCCCCATGGTTGCACAGATGGTACCTACAATACGGTCCAAACCACAGAGGAGGTGGGCAGATGCCTGGCATTTGAGGAATGCTAACCTAAGGGCTAGAATTTTGGCATCAGATAGACCTGACTTTGAGTCCCAATCCACCTTGATGAGCCTGAGTTTCCTCATTTGTGAAATGCAAATAATAATAACACCAATGCCATGCAGATGAAGTGGGATTAAATGAAATACTGCCTGGAAAACCCCTAACACTGTGCCTAGCACAAAAATGACCAGTAAATCATTGTATTTATATCCTGTGTGCTCAGAGGGGTTAAGGCATAACCATGCCTACATCTTCACCTTGGGTACCATCCCATTTGGGGAAGCTTCTAAGGCTCACATACTTTACCTTTCTTATCTCTGGCATCTCTACCGGGTAGGCTGGTTCTTCCCATTGGAAATCAAGGTCAGGATCCCTTGACATTCATTTCCCTAATGGTAGAATTTCATGTATTTTGGTCTCACTGCTCTTTACCACTCTCTAGCTTTATTTCTTTAGTTGATTATAAAAATAATGAAGTTAAGAGAAACACAAAACCAAGTCACCTGTAAATCTTGCTTTTCCTTCCTTCATCCAATCAGAAAGAATAACTCTGTAAGGACGTGAAATAGGGACAATCCCTTCATTAGATTGTACTTTTAATCTCTTCCTTTGTACTGAGTTTTTTGTGTGCTAATAAATACTTTGTGCTAAGTACTAGGCATTGAGAAGACAACAGTGAACAGGTCATGGACCTCTCAGCTTACATTTTCACAGCGAGCTTATATTCTAGGAGGAAACAAAATGAAGACTTTTGTTTCCTTTAAATTAAAATAATCTTTGGTTATAAAAATCACTTGTAAAAATTTTGAAAAACAAAGAGGAGTGCTGGAAAATTCTGACATATTCACTAACTAATCCTAAGCTCTCTTTCTTCTCCTTTAATTGAGAATCTATTAAGCAAGCTAGCTGTGAAGTTTATAAGTCTACAGTTATGAACATCAGAAATGAATATTTTCCTTAAGAGGCTGTGGATATGAAACTGTGTTTATTTGATTTATTTTCTTACTGAAGTAGTTCTTATTATAAAACAAAAACAAAAATAACCTTTGAGAAAATTAATTTCAAATTATGTTGTCCTTGCCAAAAAATGTTTAAAATCCAGCTACATATAACAATGCCCTTTATAGTTCTGGGTTCACTGGGATACTTTTTGCTCTGTGACCTCACAAAAGTTACTTACCCTGTCTGAGTTTCTTCTTCCTCATCTGTTAAATGAAAGGGTTGGAATAGATAGATTATCTTGAAAAGTCATGTATATGGCAAGTTTTGCCTAACAGCTAGAATCAGAAAGATGGGCTGTGTAACCTTGAACAAATTACTTGACCACTCAGAGCTCCTATTTTCTTACCTATAAAATGGGACATGTTTATCTCACAGGGCTGTTATGAGAATCCAATAACCATACATAGGGAGTACCCACAGTACAGTAAATGCTCAGTGAATGGTGTTACCATTTCTTTAAGTATGAGCAATTGCCGGTTATCATCTAAATATCCACGTGTGGCTTCAGTGCCAACAGCACTTTAGGTACAAATAAGTGTAAGACTCATTTACTGTTTTGGGAATACTTGAAATCCATTTGTAGGAACAAGGAATAATAAATGCATGTTGGTCTGCAGAAATGGAACATGCACATTAAAATCATCCTCTCATTTCTTTGAAGTGAGCTGCTTCGTCAGCAATGCTGTCCAATTTTTCTTCTTGTCTCTGAAATTCCCTTCCTGAGCACATTCCCGACGTGAAAGGTTCAAGTCCTCCTCCGTCCATTTCAGAGGTTATCCATCACAATGGACTTATCGCCAGTGGAAAATCATGAATTGGAATCTGCAACTGCTGGCTCCTAGGCTCACAGGCTTTCTGCTGGGTGGAAACCGTAAGGAGAAAAGGAACAAGTTGCCTGAGGTCTTCATTTGTCATTTGTCATTGGGCCTGGAAACCATACTGGGTACAAATATACATCAAGTGTGAGATCCAGGCTTGGCTCAGAGAACTGGTTCATAGGGATGCTGTAATATATCAGTCGGCTTTGAAGGAGAATAAAGACACACCTCCAGCTTCAAAGGGAGGCACGGTTTTAGAGTAGGAGCGCAAGTGTAATAGATGTTGGAGCTCAGGCCTAAAACTTAGGAGAGATCTGCTTCCACTTTGAAGACTGACACGGAAAATGAATGCAAAACATTCACCCACTGCCTTACTCATGACCAGGTAACACAGGCTGTTATCATCAGTATCTTTGTCAGCATTACTGTTCTTTTCATTTCCGTAGAGTTGCATCTAACGCATATTCACAAGAAGGAGAGATGCAAGCCAACAAAGGATGTTTATTAAAGGATCAAAGCTACATAACAAGAAACTCTCTCTGGGAAGCCCTCTGGAATCTGGCCTCTATTCTGTTTATTCAAAGTTTGTATCAGTAACTTGGTCAATGAGCTAGAAAGCATACTTATCCTGTTTACAAGCTGGCCGGGCTCATAAATGCAGTCCAAAACATAAACACCAAAGACTGCAAAATACTAGCACTATGGGCTGAACTGAGCATGTTCTAGAATTTTTGATTTACAAAGGTCGGTGGGCTACTTTGCACTGGGGAGCAGGTCCTCAAGATTTTAACTGAGAACCACAGCATCCCAACCCCACTGCAGCTTTGGAACCTAATAAAACCTGAAAGCAGTGTGGAACATGTCTGTTCATAAGGGTCTCAGGAGCCAGCATATCTGGCCTGAGCAGCCTTAAGGAAATGCAAAAGCAGCATGGAATTCATGCAGTAAAGTCTTGACTAGGTCTGAGAGGGCTAGGTTATGCACTACTCTCTAACTTGCATAAAAACCACCACCATTAATTAAACACATACTATATGCAGACACCATGCTAAGTGCTTTATGTATATAAAGGAAATAGCAGCAGCTTTTCTAGATGGATGGACATAAATAAATCTACATCCCTACTCATCCCACCCAGATAATTCTAGGAATTTCTAAAAAAGGTGATCATGAATCATCCGTCCCTACTGGGTGGTCACTCCTAAGCTACACCATGGATACGAGGGCCACCAAGGAAAATAAATCCATGCTAATTCCCCTGACCAGTCACTGCTGTGGGTCATCACAAACCTGCCGCTTGCAAAGCGGGGGAGACAAAGCTCTTTTTCCGTGTACGTCAGCTCTGGGGAGAGACTCCCGCTGCTCCTGCTTGGGCCACAGATGTCACCTAACCAGACCCGTCCCTGGCACCCACAGCACCCCTGTCTCCCCAGGGTACACTCAGCTCATGGGTAGCTCAGGTGGGCCCAGTTATTCTGCCAGTACCAGCACCCCACCCAGAACCACTGCCCCATGCTGATGCTGCAGGCAGTTGCTTCACCTCCAGCTCTTATTTCCACCTGATTTCTCTTTCTGATGTCCGTCTCTCAAAATCTTTATTTCTGCTCCACCCCATATGCCTGACTGTTGGGAAAGACCAAAGACACTGACTGCTTATGACAGACAGGGTTCGTGTAGCTCCCCCGCACCACACCCATGCCTCCCAGGGTCTCCAGCTCCTGGTGAGGAGGGGCGGTGTGGCTGGACCCCAGCCACCAGATGTCCAGGGCTCAGCTCTGTTTCGGCCGTGACTTTCCCTTTGTATGCTTTATTTTATGTATTCCTTAAAAATACCCTATGATTGGTAAACAGTTTAATAGTGAGCCTTTGGGTTGAGGCTCAGAGAGGTGTCCTCAGCTCACCCAAGGTCGCACAGCTAAAACAGTGAATTTGAACCTGATCCCGCAGACCAGGATGCTTCGGACCCGGGTTCCAAGCAGGTTTTCTCTTACACGTGTCAAACACTAAAAGGGGGCAGGAAGCTGGCCTCTTACTACCTATTTTGGGGTCCTTAAACTAATTGGGTATTTCAGCCACTGCTGACATAAAGCTACACCCATAGACCAGTGTGCAAATATATGAAAATGTACAAACAATTTTGAGTGGTTCTTGGATACAGCCCTAAAAATTTAATTGATCACATAGTGCAAAGTTATCTCCTTCTCCATTCTACCCCAATTTCTCTAACATCAGAAAGAACCCCTCTTCATAAGCATTTTTCTCTGTGCTAATACTTGATCTCCTTCCTTAACAAAGACTTAAAATCATTAGAATTGAATGAACATTTTTGCTTTGCTTGTTGATAGTTGTTTTAATGCATACTTCTGTATACAGCAAGAATGCCCATGTTACAGTCACAATAATGATAAGGTGTTTCTTTTTAAAATATATTTATTTCAGTAAAAACATAGTCAATTTAAAGAAAAAATATCATGTAAATACAGATGGTACATGGACAGGTCAAGCATCATGCAAATGGTGTGCAAATTGCTGAAATTTGAAAAATGCTCAACTGGACCAATTCCTAAAATAAGGAATGTCTTGCTTGGTGGTATAATCTTCAAAATATGAAATAGCAATTCTTTTTGGTACAGACAATATTTATAATGCCAGTTTTTGAAACAACAGAAAGGTGTGGAAGTCTGAAACCACAATGATGATCAAGGAAACATCAGTGTTCAAAGTAGCTCCTTCTGATTCTCTCCCACCACCTACACCAAGGTCCCCGTGTCCTCTGGAATGAGTATGCAACTGATGGTCAAGAACTTTCCAGGCACAGGAAACCAAAGACACATTACAACCAACTGGAACAAAAGAGAGGCTTTGAGAAACAAAAGATCCTATTCTGAAATAGGAAGAAGGTCTTCTCAGCCTCATGCAGACAGTACATTGAAACTTTTGGAGGTCAAGTTTGAAGAAATCTAGCTTTTAAAATACCGTTTAATTCTTTACCTGTTCATAGTGTTAAACACCATCCAACTGGTCACAGAAACAGAGAGGTTCAAGAAAGCTAGACTATTTGCAATTCCTTCTGAGTACTCTGTAATTCCCTGACAATCAGAAGCTTCCAAAAAAAAAAAAAAACCCACAATCTATTTTAGGGACATTTCTGAGCCCAGGTAAGCTTCAGAATGAGAAGATAAATAGAACTAAATGGTCTGAGCTGAAGATCTCATCTAGAGAGAAAGCAGTCCTGGTTGTGGAAAAAGAACCCCATACAGTCACCAAAAAATGTGTCCCTCATCCTTGATGTCATCACGGCAGGGGCAAAGTTGGCTCTTGGAACCCTTTCCACCTCTTTGTAGCTGTACCACCTTGAGCAAGCAACTTCACTTCTCTGCGCCTCCATTTCTTGCTGTGTAAATGAGGCTCACCATACCGTGAGTTGGGGTACACAGATCTCCTAATGAAGAGGATATGTTTGTAGAGGTCAGTTCTCTTCTCCCCTTCCCACGGGATATTTCAAAGACAAAAATAAAGGCAAAGCTTGGAACAAAACAGATATATAGAAGAGTTCTTAATCGGGAATCCCGGAGAAAAGATGCAAGGTCTATGAAAACTCTGGAATTATTTGTAAAATATTTTGTTTAAATTTATTTTTCTGGGAGGAAAGTCCAGATCTGTCAACTGTAACCACCCAGAAGAGTTTAAGAATGACTCTAGGAAATAACGCCAAGATGATCTCCAAAGTTGGACCTTCGCAAACTGATCTGATGATTGTGACATTGACCCTCAGTAGAGTTGGGATAACTGCTCTCTTCTGTGGGGCAGGACTGTGTTTGCCAGAATTACTGCAGGGAGTAATGCTGGAACCCAGCCGGCTGGCCCTCCACAGAAAGGTTTTAACCAAATTGAACTTTGGCGCAGTAAAATAAGCAGCTTCTGATGCCGGCTACTGTGTTTTCGTCTGGACAAGGCTGAGGTCCCTGCTTATTACACTAGTGTCTGATTGCTCTGAGGACCATGGGGTGAATTTCTCTGGACTTACTAACAGCGTTTTCCTGAGCAGCTCATTTGTTCTTACCTAACAGTGACTGTGGATTGTGCGATTGATCGCATTTCCCTCTTTTCATCAGCTACCAGAGAAAAGTCCAGGCGAATGCGATGCTTATCCACAGCCAAAACGGTGGTTTGTGTTTTCTGTAGCAGCCGCTCTCTTCACTCCGTGTGTGTGCTGGCTGCATCGGTGTGTTTATTTTCCCTTTACTGCATTTTAAAATACATAATTTATATTATCCTGTTATACTGTTGACATGTGCCTAAGCCTCCTGCTAGTTCATTTTGCAACAGGTATGCATAAGCAGTTGGATGTCCAAGAATTGCACCAGCGGGCTGTTAGCCCAACTAACCCTTCATTTTGGGGGTAACATCCTGAATCTTACTTTTGTTTTTATCTTCCCTTTAGTCCGTTAAAGAGGATTCAGTCCCCACAGGTGCAGAGGAGAATGTAAGTCCTGCATTGAACGGAATCATTCTATTCTCATCTTTGGCTGTTAGGCTACTGGGCATTCCGGCTCTGGGAGCCCCGGCTCTTGCGTGCCCCAAGCCTTACTCATCTGCTGTAGGTTCTTTCACCCTCGCACGTGATTGGGCACCCCTGGGGAATAACACTGGATGAATATTTGTAACCCCCATTGAATTGATCAGACACAAAATTGGAGCATGCCTTTTTATAATCACAGGGGCTGAAAGACTCTACTGAACACGAGCACACCCTTTCACTCCCGAGGGGGCAGCGACCCTGCCTCCTCGGCTTCCCTCAGCCCTGATTGCTCCTTCACCTTTCTTTCCATGGCAACTCAGATTCTCTACTAACTGGGGTCGGGCCTTGGACAGGCAATGCATCAGACGTGAGAGCATCTTGCTGCACTAGATGCCGAGACTGTTGGCCGTGGGCCAGAGAGGGGGTCTAGGCCTGAGACTCTGGGTCTCTGCACCGAGAGACAGAGCTTGATCTCCCCTGCCGAAACTGTCAAGACAGTGCCTTTCTGTCCGAAGGGCAGGGCTCCGCAGGAGACGCCACGAAAAGGCATCTTGCCAGAACATCTCCAGGCAGATGAGGAAACTGGCCTCACGAGTTTCAGAACACAGATCGTAGCTTTCTGCTCTGACAGAGGCACAGATTTTGGAAAACTTTGTACATTGGGGATAAGTGAGTTCACAGCTCCTTAAGATAGAAACGGATCATCATTTCGCCAAAGCAAAATACGTATGGCTCATTCTAGGTGGCTCTTGTGTGCTTGTCATGGATAAGGCCTGGGTTTTTTTTTTTCTTTCATTTTTATTTAATTTCTGGAAATGAACAGATGTTGAAAATCCAAATATGTTCCAGAAACGTTGTCTGTGACGTGGAAAGAACATTAGAATGTCTATGTTACAACTCTGGTTAAGGAGAAAGATCGTTGAATCTGCTTTGTTGTTATTATTTTTCTTTTCTTCCCTCTTTCCACTCCTCTCCTCTCTCCCTTTCTCTCCCTCTCTGAGCCAAACTTAGTAGCTCAGCAAGCTCAGGTCTCCTAATTCCAGAAAATCCTCATGAATATACTGTCTATTTTCTAGAAAGTCAAATCTCTATTTCAGCAACCTGTGAGAAGGGCTCTATGAACCTTCTTCCCTCAACTTGAAGTTTGAAGCTTGCAGGTTAATCTGGAGCATCATTAGATTCTGAGGTTTTGGGTTTTTTGAGAAGGTTCCTTTCAGATATTTGTGTGCAGCTGCCTGCCTGAGAAACCCTCTATCTCTTGTACATCACTTGCTGAAACGCAGAGTTGATCTCTAACAGGCAAATGAAAAGTGTTTCATTTTTGAGTGTGAAATGTAAAGCAGAAATATAAACATGAATTAAGATTCATTCAAGTTAAATTATCCATACCAAAAGATAACATAAAAGCTGTACAGAAAAACAAAATATTTTCTCAAGAAAATAAAGAAGCATTTAAGAATTCCTTTAAATTGCTCAGCCCTACAAATACCATTTCTATTTCTAAGCTTCAACATTTCATCTTCTAATAGCTAATTAGTTGGAGAGAATGAGGCAAAAATTTATGATCTTGGCCCCACTATCCCCAGGCCCTGCCACTTCCTAGGCCTCAGTTCACTCATCTCTTAAATGGCCATAATATTATCATCTATACCTTAAGGTTCTTATGAGAATTAAATGAATAATGTTCATCATGTGCATACTTCAGCAACTGAAATGTAGAAAGAACTCCATAATTCAGGGGTCAGCAAACTACAGTTCCTGGGCCAATTCCAGCCCATCACCTGTGTGTGTAGGCTAAGAGCTAAGAATGATTTCTGCATTTTTAAATGGTTGGAAAAAATTGAAAGAAGACGAATATGTTACGACATGTAGAAATGATACAAAATTCAAATTTCAGTGTTTATGAATAAAGTTTTATTAGAATACAGCCATGCTCATTCCTTTGCATACTGTCTATGGCTGCTTTCCTACTTCAAGGATAGAATGCAAGCAAAGTGCCACCCTTTGCAGGACCGGTTGTTGCATAGGAGTTGTAACATTCCAAGTGAGTGCCTCCCGGTAATCAGTGATTATAGTTTCTTGTGAAATCACACATCTCGCAGCTGAGCCAGTGCCCAGGTGGAGGGAAGGAACAGTTAAAACAATTAGTTTAATCCTCCCAAATAAGAGAGGTAGCAATAATCAAAACAACATATAATACTCTAAACCTTCAAAACAGGATAACTATGTGTGATTAACCATACTATGAGTCTTTGGTAACCAATGGCTAAACTATGATGATGGTTGGTTTTTTAATTTCTCTACCCCAAATTTCCAAAACCAATGTATCAGCCAATGCAAAGCAAAAGACAGAGTGATTTCAACATTTCTTAAAGATTTTCATGAAAAGAAAAATAAGGCTTTTAAAGCCCATGGAAACTTAGTGCTTTTCCCAGAATATGCTTCCAGTTCCTATAAGAATTGAAATCCAACTGCCTTAGCCACAGAAATTACTGGATCTTTCCATTGCAGTATGAAAATGTTTTGGCCATTGATTGAGTTACTGCTCTAACTAACGGAGAAAAAGAAATTTCCTTCCCAATTACCTATAAGATGAAGGAAATAGGTCCTTCTTTCTCTCTTAATAAATAATCTCTCAGTTGGAAGTGAGAGAAAGCCCAACTCAACCTGGATGAAACAGAGAATGGAATTTACTGGCATTCTGTAGATTTCCCTTGGCTCAGCCTCTGGCCTGGTTACATTTCCAGTTTTCCCACAATACATCATCCAGTCCAGGGTACAGGAGAAATTGGTCCAGTGGCAAGCCTGCATGTCCTGGAATTGGTTCTCTTTCATTGGCTCGAATGGGTTCACATGCTTCTGCAGGTTGTGTTGCAGTAACAGTGAAGCCCCCAGTTGTAGTGGCTTTCAGCAGCAGAGGGTCTTTTTTTCCTCACTTTTGCTACCTGTCAGCTTATGTTGGCTGTGGCTGATCTGGACCGAGAAAAGCAGACCTTTCAACAAGGTTGTGCAGTTGTAGTGGCAGAGAGAAGACAGTGCCGTGGGTGAACCACTCAGTGGTGCTAAAAGTGTCCGCTCAGTTGTACTTTATGTTATGTCTCCTCACGTTCCATTTGTCAAAGGAAGTCACATAGCAATGGGCACAGTTGTATAATTCTTTTACAGGAAGGCAGAGTGAATGATTGGGAAAATATACATTCAGCCACAGATGACCATCCCTGAACCCACGAGGTCAAAGGGCTAGACCTTGATTGGCTTAGACCCGCCCAACCAGCATCATCCAGATGGTGTGCTCTTCGAGTTAAGGTTGTTTCCCCCAAAGCAAAACTCGGGAAAAGCCAAGAATAGTTACTGGGTAGAAAAACAAAATCTTTACAAGGTCTTTATAATCAAATAATCATGTTATAAACCAAACCAGAATGAACCTAAAAAATTCTAAAATAAAAACTTTCAGTCTTGTTATGTTTCAGGTGAAGTTTAAGCAGAAGAAATCTATTTCCCTGGAAATGGATTTTCAAAACTCAGCACTCTAGTGAAAAATGTCTAAACCGAATTTCAAGAGTAAGCATGCTGTAATATTTAAGGCAAAAAGTGAAAACTCTTGCTGAGATACATCCTGTCTATGTTAAATGGACTAGCCATTCTCATGGGATGTACGGTATTGCCTACTGAAAGCAAGCAGAGGGGATTTAATTCTAAAATAGAGCCCAAATCTGACTTTCATTACGTCTGTCATACCGAAAATTAAAACGTACAGATGCAATCATATATTCTAAATAAGGAGCGACTTTTTCCAAAGCCCTGGCCTAGAAGGAAATTGGAAAACTGTCCTAACAGAAATCAAATTCTTATGTCTGTGTATGCAGATCAGATTCTCACTTAGCTCACATCCTTCCAGATCTCCTCCTTGGATGTCAGTGGATTTTCCTTGGCTGGTGAAAGCCAAATTCTTGGCCTGACTTCAAAGCTAATGAGAGTCTCTAGAAATTCCCCCTCCCCTGCTTTTTTTTTCATTTTTCCTACTGAAATAGTTGTGTTTTGAAGAATGGACTCAGGCCTGGGATTTATGAGTTCACACCTCTCAACATTTGTAAAGGCCCACCAAGAAAACCCTTGGCAATTAAAGTTGGTTGACAAAGTTACTGCCACACAACTGATTATTTTATTATGTAATCATCCCTCCAGGCCCTGCATACAAAAAAAAACAAAAACAAAAACAAAACCCTTGTTGCTTCAAAGACAGAGTCATTCTGAGCCCCGAGTCAGCAAGTCAGACTCTGTTCATATCTCCCCACTGAGCCCCTTCCCACCCCTCCACCTTCCTTCCCTTGGTTTCAGGCAAGGTGGGCAACTACCACCCCACAAAGTATTTGTTCATGATTTGGCTAAACAAATACTCCCATTTTCTTTACCAAGAATTAGCTGAGGGGCAAGGATGTGACCACTTCTGGCCAAAGATGTATATCCTGAGGTAAGGGATCAAAATTACAGAAATTTATTTGGAGCAAATCTTGTGCTGTGAACTTCCTTCTTGTTCCAGGACTTTGAGTTGAGGATGTGATGCCTAGACCTGTGGTAGCTACATTATAACCATGGGGTATCAAATCAAAGGATGAAAATCTGGCATGCGGAGATGGCAGAGCCAATGGAAAGAGCCCAGGTTTCCAGAGACACTGTGGAGCCACTGAACCAACCCCAGAACTTCCTGCTTTCAGACTCATTGTTCCATATAGTTATTGATTAAGTCACTATTAAATATTTAGTAGACAACTCCATCCTCACTGAAATGGCTACTTACCTGTGGTGTGACTTTGGCCAAATCATTAAATCATTCAGATCCTTCATCTGTGGAATAGGGACAATGGGGTGTATTCTGAGCTGTTTTTAGTAACTCAGTAACTATTTACTGAGGTAATACATTAAAAAATAACTTGAACAATGTTGGGCATAGTAAGAGAGAGTTGTTCAAATCAGTGGTAAAAAGTAGACATGTGTAGAGTGGGTGACTCCAGATAATTCATGCCCATGAAGTAATTCTCACAATAGCCCAAGTAACAACCACTTGCATTAACTGAGTACTTACTATGTGTCAGGCACTGTTCTAAGACCTTTACATGCATTGCCTGATTTAACTCTAAACATGACTTTCTGATGTGTATACTGTCCCACTGAGAAATGCCAAAACACGGCCAGAAAGATACTTGAGTAGGGGCCTTGGTGTAGGGCCCCTGTAGGGGCAGAGTGAAGATTGACACAGCCAGGTTGTGCTCACAATCATATGCCAGACTTCCTGTGTTTCAGGCCTGCCCCAGGACACTGTGGGTGAAGCTCATTTTTCAGCAAGGCAATTGAATTAAGTTAGGCCTAGATAGGGGAATCCACGACCTCATCTGACCACCAATCCCAGACTCTTACTGGGCTGCTGTCTCAGCCCGGTTTCCTAAGTGTAAGCCAAGGTCAAGAACAGGCAGCCCAGGGCAGAAGCCTCCCTATGCACGTTTGTTTTTTGGCCGTTCCAGGGCTTCCATTCATTCAGCGTCTTCAGATGAGGCCCCTTGACAGTGCTTGCCGCAGCCACCACTTCTTCTTTTCTGTCTTGCATCTGGTCAGTCCGGGCTGCTATTACATGCCTTGCCTCCTGCAGATGTTTGAGTTTATAACTCCCCAACCAAGATCTTTGTTTACAAAGGAAAAATACCAGAAGTGGTGTTGATAAAGACGGGAGAAAAGGGTTTGTCACGGGAACCTTCCTGTATCGGTTGACAACACAGAAATTAAGAGTCCTTCTCAATCTGAATCGCTTGGGTCATTTGCAAACCAATGGTATGTTCTGTATGAAGGAAAGGAAACTGATTTCTCCAGAAGCATCCTGTGTTTTTGAAAATACCTAAGTTCCCCTCCCCTAGCCCCTGGCAGCAAGGACAAGGTTCTGAGGAAGCTGGGGTCTGGCACCAGCAAAGACAAATGCGGAAGATGCCTTTGGCTCTAAAGTGCTTTCCTCGGAGGCGGGGACAGCAAATTTGTTGTGTAAGGGGTCCAATAGTGAATATTTTAGACTCTGCAGGCCACATAAAGTCTCACATTTTTCAACATTAAGAAAAAATGAGAATGCTTTAAAAATGTAAAATCCATTCTTAGCTCAGGGGCCATTCCAACACAGGCTCTGGGATAATTTGCTAATAGTTTGCCAATCCCTGCCTGAGGAAACAAAAAGGACATTATAAAACCCTCTCCAGGCCAATTAACTCTGTCACATTGCAGAGACCAGCGCAAATGCAGAAACTGGCCCAGATGTGACGGGCCCTGCATGACAGGAGTGGCGCAATGCAAAAGGAAAAAATTTGGAATCCAAGTTCAGGCAAATGGGCCCTTCCACCCAAACTCCACCCTGCTGGCCATCCCTTCTGCCTACAGATTTTCAAGGGTGCTGAGCTCACTGGGTACCCCACAGGGGGTCGTAAGGAACTTAGCTATAGTTTTCTCACCAAGTTCATTTTTCTTCTGAAAGTGTGAACTTCTGTTGAGTACCGATGGCAAATGGCTGGTCTGGGTGAGAGGGATGATGGGCTAACGAGGAAGTCAAGTCCATTAAGTCACGTGGCTTTCGCACTATCCTTTCTGCAAAGAGGACAGTGTCTCCGCAGACACAGGGGATCTAGGACATGGCCTAGAACATGTCATGGCCACCACCTCCTTATTTTGACCCAGGCCAGGTGTAATTGACCTTTACAGCCAACCAAAGAGGAATTTTGCCTCTCCTGAGTCAGTGTATTTGACAGTTGCTCAGAAACTGGCTGTTTGAAAGCACATTCTATGACATGAGCCCTGCTTGGTGAAGACGTGCCTGTGTAGAAATGGTCATAGATTCAAACCCATAGCTAGTATGTGAACAAGGGGGCAACTGGAACCCCACTTTATAAAATATGTTGAGGGGAACATTTTTTTTTTCACTGTCTTATTACCTGGCAAAATCATCCAGGAGGTGTGTGAATCACCAGTAGAGGTGGTAAAGTCCAAGGAAATAGAATCAGCCTTACAAACAGTGGATCTCAATGAAGAAGGAGAGGCCACAGTTGAACCCGCAGAAGCCAAGCTCAAGAGAGAAGAGCAGAAACCACGGAGAACCTCCTTGATGGCGTTTCTCAGACAAATGGTAAGCCGCTTGCTTCCGGTACAGAAAGCTGACATGCCTAGGTCAGCTTCCAAGAATAAAGGACCTGTGTCACCGGTGGTATGAGACATAATTGTAGGAGGTAGACATGGAATTTGAGTGGAACACGAATTGTGCAGTGAGAAAATTCCCTTTCATCTTCTGACTCAAATGGAGAGTCTCAGTTTATTGCAAAGGTATATTAATCTTTCTTTACCTCCTGCTAAGTCCTTTTTTAACAAAGAGAGAGCTGGCCTCGGGTCCTGAGTTTTGGCTGACAGCGGCAGCCACCTAGAAGTTAGTAGTACTGTTTACTTTTAATTTTATTTATGTTTAAAGTTTTCTTCTGCTTTTGGCAAATCATACTGTTTTGCTCATTATGGTAATGATAGGCAGTTTCTTTTGAAAGTACATTTATTTACATAAAGACCATAAGGCCTTTTTTAAAGGGCAAAGCAATTTACTCCAAGATATATATTGACATTGAAAAAAATTCTGAAGGTGACATGTGAGTGACACAAATTTGGACAAAACTGATTTACACATCATTCCATAAGGAAATGACAATATAATTGTCTAATAGTGACTGTGTAGAGTTGGTGAATTTGCTGTGCTTTTAGTGTATATAGAATGAAAAGAATGTGCATAGACATATTTTTAGTGTCTGTGAAGAGTCATATACATTAAATACCTAAACATCCAGGAATGTAAATCATATAATGCAACAAAACCCACATTGGTTGGAAGACAGAAAACGAAAACCCATCTGAGAGGTCATTGGTTTAATTCTCTTTTAATGAAAAACAAGAATTTCATTAGAGTGAGCTTTTATTTTCAGGAGTCTTTGGGAAGCTAATCCTTTGAGAAAGCGACTCTAATTTCACAGGCCCGGCCTATTAAGGAATCCTTTCTAGTCCACAAAACAAAACAAAACAAAATCCCTGCCAGTGGTGCTGAGGCATATGAGAAATAACTGTGATAGAAACTGTTTACGAAAATTGTTCTCTTTCTTCACTGGGTTTTCGTGGAGTAAGCAGCATACAGTAAGGAGGGGGAGGTTTGTATGGCTGGAACCTCTTCTATATTCCTGGCCATTTACTCTGCAATTTGGCACTGAAAATGGGAATCAAGATTTGAGTTTTTCAACCACTTTTTACACAATATCAGGACAGAAAAGAACATTTAGCCTGCTTCTGGCAGCACATGTACATTCCAAATTGTATCCCCAAATAGCTCATCATGACACTGATGATGCAGCTTTCTCATTTCTGGATGGAGTTGAGGGATTAAAAAAACAAAGAAAAGCAAATAGAATGACGTTCTCTTCCAAATGACCAACATGAGACTACACATAAAAGATTGGAAAATACAAAAGACTCCAAATCCAGCATGGAAGATGTCTAAACCACCCAGTGCATCCATTCAATGTACACTGATGCACTTAAACTCATGTTCCAGAGCTAGCCCTTGGAAGTTGCTTGGGGATATTATCTAGAAGTAGAAACTGGGTACATTTAACTGTTAGGGAAACAAATTACAGACAAGAATTCTTTGGAACTGATTCCCCTTAGGTTTGAAATAGAGGTAGAAGAGGACACATTTTTCAAGAATAAAGGACCTGTGTCACCGGTGGTATGAGACATAATTGTAGGAGGTAGACATGGAATTTGAGTGGAACACGAATTGTGCAGTGAGAAAATTCCCTTTCATCTTCTGACTCAAATGGAGAGTCTCAGTTTATTGCAAAGGTATGTTAATCTTTCTTTACCTCCTGCTAAGTCCTTTTTTAACAAAGAGAGAGCTGGCCTCGGGTCCTGAGTTTTGGCTGACAGCGGCAGCCACCTAGAAGTTAGTAGTACTGTTTACTTTTAATTTTATTTATGTTTAAAGTTTTCTTCTGCTTTTGGCAAATCATACTGTTTTGCTCATTATGGTAATGATAGGCAGTTTCTTTTGAAAGTACATTTATTTACATAAAGACCATAAGGCCTTTTTTAAAGGGCAAAGCAATTTACTCCAAGATATATATTGACATTGAAAAAAATTCTGAAGGTGACATGTGAGTGACACAAATTTGGACAAAACTGATTTACACATCATTCCATAAGGAAATGACAATATAATTGTCTAATAGTGACTGTGTAGAGTTGGTGAATTTGCTGTGCTTTTAGTGTATATAGAATGAAAAGAATGTGCATAGACATATTTTTAGTGTCTGTGAAGAGTCATATACATTAAATACCTAAACATCCAGGAATGTAAATCATATAATGCAACAAAACCCACATTGGTTGGAAGACAGAAAACGAAAACCCATCTGAGAGGTCATTGGTTTAATTCTCTTTTAATGAAAAACAAGAATTTCATTAGAGTGAGCTTTTATTTTCAGGAGTCTTTGGGAAGCTAATCCTTTGAGAAAGCGACTCTAATTTCACAGGCCCGGCCTATTAAGGAATCCTTTCTAGTCCACAAAACAAAACAAAACAAAATCCCTGCCAGTGGTGCTGAGGCATATGAGAAATAACTGTGATAGAAACTGTTTACGAAAATTGTTCTCTTTCTTCACTGGGTTTTCGTGGAGTAAGCAGCATACAGTAAGGAGGGGGAGGTTTGTATGGCTGGAACCTCTTCTATATTCCTGGCCATTTACTCTGCAATTTGGCACTGAAAATGGGAATCAAGATTTGAGTTTTTCAACCACTTTTTACACAATATCAGGACAGAAAAGAACATTTAGCCTGCTTCTGGCAGCACATGTACATTCCAAATTGTATCCCCAAATAGCTCATCATGACACTGATGATGCAGCTTTCTCATTTCTGGATGGAGTTGAGGGATTAAAAAAACAAAGAAAAGCAAATAGAATGACGTTCTCTTCCAAATGACCAACATGAGACTACACATAAAAGATTGGAAAATACAAAAGACTCCAAATCCAGCATGGAAGATGTCTAAACCACCCAGTGCATCCATTCAATGTACACTGATGCACTTAAACTCATGTTCCAGAGCTAGCCCTTGGAAGTTGCTTGGGGATATTATCTAGAAGTAGAAACTGGGTACATTTAACTGTTAGGGAAACAAATTACAGACAAGAATTCTTTGGAACTGATTCCCCTTAGGTTTGAAATAGAGGTAGAAGAGGACACATTTTTCCCAAGCAACCATCAAGGGATTCATAGAGTCAGGTCTTCAAACGTCCATTGTTCTTATGACCTGTTTTCCATTGAAAGAGTTATGCCTGGGAGCTTAAACATTATTCCTTGAACCTCCAAAATTTCCATGACTGTCGGGATTTCCCCTAAAATTCTGGTTATCCTAATGATGCTTGGCTGGCATTCTGTTTGGTTTTCACAGTAACATTTTATTACCATTGTGAGTAATTCAAATACACCAAAGACATGGACTTTTCAGTTTGCTACAATCCCTACCACTCCCTATTAACACAGGCAGCCCAACTCACTCATTTATATTACTAGCCCTATCCCTGTGGTATTTGAGTTTGCAAGCCGATATAAAGCCACCTCATTCTTGATAACAACTTCATTGAATCACATTGTCTAGATTTATCATACTCAGATGAACCAGTGCTCTATTAAGGACATTTAGTTTGTTTCCAATGTGTTGCATTTCATTCATTCACTTATTCAATGAATAATTATTGAGCACCTACTACATGCCAGACATTGAGATATTTATTGTGGTGGATGAGTAGATGTGGTCCCTATCCTCAAGAAGAAGAAAGCCTAATGAGAAAAACAGATGCTTATTTTTAACTTGGCACCATATTCAGTGAGCATGCACCATGTGTCTTGCACACACGGTCCAGTTGCTTCCCTCACCAGCAAGCACATCCTTACACAGCTACATCTATGCAGAGGCATAGACAGTCCCAGAGAGTAGATTCCCAAAAGTCAGTTGCAGCAAATTATTTTCAGGACACTCTTCTGGGTTAACGTCATAACTTCCAAACTCATTTAAAGTCTTTGGATTATGCAGGAAAACAAATAAACACATACACATGCATATACACAAAAATAAAAAAAAAGAACCTCTAAAGGCTTGAAAATAGAGAGAGCATCTGGCCCACCACTATGAGTATTTTTTTGAGCCAAATAAGTGAATGTTTTGAACCAATTTAGGATATTGTTAGCAAATACAAAAATCCTATGGGCTCCTGCAGATTTTCAAAATAATTACAAGGAATAGCTAAGACATCTGTCATGCCTTAAATAGAAAAAGATTCTTATATGTATTAATTCGACTGTATGTCAAGAAATTGGATATTTGAAGTGCTAGCATATTTTTATAACATGAGTGGGTAGAGACCTATATTCACGTACCCACAGACCAGGTAGATTGATGAAATCACAGGGGTGGTAGAGAGAAATACAGAGATATAGATTTATAATTTGTCAGTATTAATAACACCTTGTACTTGAAAAGTGCTTTCCTCCCCCGAACTGTTGTCACATATTGTTTCATTTAATCTTCCCCCTGTCTCTTTCTTTAGGCCATTAGTTTTATAAGAAACTCTTTGGTGGAATAACGTCCACAGGCTCAGAGACTGTGAGCTTTCATAATGGGCAAATTAAAGATTCAAATGAGGAGACATCCATGAAATTGGAGTTTTTTGTTGATTACATCCAACCTAATAAGTCTAATAAAACCTGTTGAAATTGACTTGGAGGAAAAAAGAGGGTGGTTTGTAATGGTAATTATAAAATAGAAAACAGGCCCTTCTAGCCAAAGTTCTTGATCTCAGAACCTTTTCTGAGTATGAAAATATGAATATTGAATTGCTCTTTAAGGGAAGATTTCAGGAAACATCTGTTTGGGGAGTTTTCGTCTCCACCAGCAGCTTGCATTCCTTTCTGCTCTTAAGGGGATTCTGTGGTCACTTGGCACTTCTCAATTATTAATACTAATAATAATAGCTCCCATTATTTATTGCGTGTAAATGTCATGGCTGGCCTGCTGAGTACATTGCATGTATCATCTCATTTATTCATGTAAAAACCCTGTGCGGCATGTCACTTCCTCACTGCTCAGATAATCACATGAAGACAGTGTGCTTAAGTGATCTGCCCAAGGTCACAGAGCCGGTAAAAGGCAGAGCCAGAATTCAAACTCAGGTTTTTGTTGATTCTAAAGCTCACCCCTGTACTCAGGTTATCGCTACTTCTTATGCTATCAGCAGCTGGTTTGTTTTGAGGGTCATTGGAGATAGAATAACCAGAGCTCCATTTTTTAGATTCTTTTAGCATTGTTTTGTGCGGGAACATTTTTATGTGTTGGGCTTCTCTGAAGTTACAACATGGCAAAAGAGAGGAGAATTAATACACGATTTACGTAAAGCTTGGGCGTAAGTTTTCTGAATATACTTGTCACTAAAATGACATCTACCTCCTCTGTGTAATTTGGTCTGAATTGTCCAATTCCATTTCAAGTAAGTGTTTTGGTAAAACACAAAGCTTGGACTCCTAGCCTTTGTTCATCCCGGAAATGTCTAGTGGTTCCTTGGATTTGTTACACTGAGGCCAATCTAGTAAACAATCTTGCTGATATACTCACACTAAATTAAAATATCATCTCAAATACATTTACATTCTTTTGAAAGAAATGTGCGCTGACCCCCAAACAGGTCCACAGGAATTCTGAATATCCAAGTGACTCACACAGGAGAGGGTTCCAATGTTCCTCAGAGTATCAAGCTATAGGAATGCATGACACAAAAAAGGACATAAAAATGACTTTATTAATGTGCAAGGCTTGGATGTTACAACTAGATACCATCACAACACTGAAGGCTGGAAGCCCTAAGATGCTCCGCCGTCAATGCTCGTGAATAAACTCCACAAAGAAAGATGCCCAGTATCACACTGAAAGATCTCTGAGATTGGAGAGATACTGTTCTTAAAAGTATAAAATAGTCTCTGAAAGAATTTTAGTCTCTTTAAACAGTAACTCTGCTATTTTTGACAGCTGGAAAAAATAAGCTTCTGTGGTTATGATTCTTTGAATGCAAAACCCAACATAAACTATTCAGATTTGTCTCTGAAAGAGGATTTTGCAAAGAGGAAAGAAGAGGGATAGAAAAAAATGAAACAAAGACGGGAGGGAGGGGAAATAGAGGAAGAAGGAGAGGGATTGTTAATAACTGCTGCGATTGATGAGACCTCAGATGGACTTAATAAGATCCTTCATCTAAACTCGGCATACCTTTGATAAATTAGCTTTGCACGCCTCAAAATGAACAAAAAAGAAAAACCATAGAAAAGCTTGAGATATTCTCCTTTTTTTTTTTCAAAAGAGGTTGAAAATCTTTGAGTGTTCTCCCTTTCAGCCTGAGGATCTGTTTTCTGGATGCCAACTAGACCCACTGTTTTCACAAGAGCCTTTTGGTTTGACCCAAATTCTTCCCCCCAAGAACTAGCAGAGAAAGAGAGGGGAAGCAAGCAGATCTAAGCCTTACACTGCAGTGTACCTAAGAGACACCGGATTGAAACAAGTAAAGAGAAGTCAGAACTCCTTCTCTCTTTTAGGGGGCAGAGGTGGCAACAGGGCTGTGCAGGACCCCTGGTTTCCATTCAGGTTGGGCTTAAAAAGCCATTTCGTTTCTTTGGTTGTTGCCATTCAGCATTCCTCAAGGGCAGTTAATGAAGACGTGACACCTCAGTCTAAAGGACGCTGGGGGATGTGGTTGAGTGGGAAGGGATCTTACAACAGTGTGAAATTCTGGAGGCCTTATGAAATCCCAAAGAGGCAAAACCTGTGGGTGAGATGGGGAGGCTGACAGCTGGTTGTAAGGAGAGAAATAATAACCGAGAGAGTCCATTTCTTTTTCTAAATGTTCTCAAGAAAGACTGGCCCTTGTACAAACAGTGAAGATGCTACCTTCCATATAAATGGATCTAAAGTTTAAAAAAGGACAGACAGATCCTTTTTTGCCTTTGGGTTGAACACTTTGGTGAAACTCAAGACAATGATGTCCCTACGAAAAATACATAGAACTTTCAGGCACCAGTTCAGGCTAAAGAAAGGCTTCTTCCATTCCTAACCAATGGAGAGGCAAGTGTTGAGGTTCTACCCTAGGCCAGGCTCTGTGAAGGTTGCTTTGGGGCTAGGAAAGGTGTAGAAATTCCCATACTGTGTCACACTATCAACAGAAGCAGTCCAGTCCCCTGAATCAGAGACAGCACCGCGCAATGTTTAAAGGCAAGCAAGGTTGACCTCCAAGAATGGGCATATTCCACAAACATCCCTTTGAAAAATATCAGCATCGCTCTTATCCAAGCCCTTAGTATTTTTCCTAATTGGATAGCTTCATGGGAGAAAGGTCAGTCAATATTTGTTGACTGAACGGTACCTCCCACCACGTAGGGGATATATGGGGAAGTGGTTAAGAGTGTAGAATACAGAGCCATTGCCTGGTGTCAAATCCCGACTTCCTTAGCAGCTAGTTCCATGACCCATGTTTCTCTGAGCTTCCATTTTCTTGCCTGTAAAATAAGGAAAATAAAAGTATTCCTCTGTCTTAGGGTTCTATGTGGTGAATAAATGACCATGGGCTGTTATCTCATTTAGCACAGTGCCTGGCCCTTGGTGAGCATTCTGCTAAAAGTCAGCCTTCAAGAATAATAGTTTTTATTATCTCTACTAATAGGAGTACCATTCATCAACTTACAGAGACACATAGTATTAATCAAAAAAATATTCGAGTTTCTTAAATGTTTTTCTTTAACTGTTCTTAGTGCCAGGGTTGCAGGTTCTTGCTGTCTGCTAGCAGAACAGCTAAGATAACAGAGGGATCTGAAGTCCTCCTCTTTGCCCTGCGTGCTTACCCCCATTTCCTATACTCCCCTCCACAGCAATGCTCAAATATGGGAGGAAAAGACCTGAGTCAAAATTATTGAGAAGAACTTAACAATCCATTACTAGGTTTCTTAGGTATTTTATCAGTCATCAAGCATAGAACATTACTGAATCCACCGCTGAGACTACAGCCCCAGTATTGGTCTGCACTTGTCCATGGCCCCTTAGCTTAAAGCAGTGATGCACGTCAGGATCACCTGGAGGATTTGCTGGGCCTCCAAACACAGATTACTGGGCTCCACCCTGAGAGTTCCTGATTCAGTAGATCTGCAGTAGTTCTCAAGAATTTTTATTTCTAACAAATTCCCAAGGGATGCTAAGGTTGCTAGTCCCGGGACCACACTTTCAGAACCATTAACTCAGAGTGTGCACTTAAGGGCCAAAGCTGTGAATTCAACCTATTCTAGCTTGGTTCTTTAGTGCCGCTGGCCGCAGGGGGGCGCTACTGAGAGAAAATAGAATGTTCAACTCACCCTATCTCTCCTCTAACAGAAAAACACGAACACCCACCACCCAAATGTTGCCGGTAGACGACCATCAATGGTTCGCCTGCTCACTCATGTTTCATTCGTTCATATGTTCAGCCATTTAGCCCCAGAATTACCCAATCCCAGGGTCACGACTTTTGTTCTTGGAGACCAGTGCTTGAATTTAACCCTGCTCTGGTCCCAGACCGCATGGAAATCATGTGTCTCATGCGTGATACGTTTCTAGTTGGTCTTCCTTCCATTTGTCTTGAGCCCAAACTCAATGGCATATAAGTGAGGCCACCCATTCCAGAACTTCCCTTGCGTTCCCCATGCTGTGCTTGCAGTAGCTGAAAGCCCATTGTCTGTTTGTTATTTTAGTCAGTGAAAGGGGATGAAGGGATCACCCGCTCAGAAGAAATAAATGGGAAAGACTCCAGCTGCCAAGTAAGTAACCTGTCAACTCGATTCGGTGGTGGGCTCAGCTGGCACCTTCTCCCTTCTTTCCAGGCTTATTTCCAGTGCAATTCTCAACCGCAGCGAACTGACCTAACATCTTCGGGTCAAGCATCTGCTGTATACACCAGGCCCTCTCTTGGGCCATGCAGATACAAACATGAACAAGCTAGGGTTCCTCAGCTATTTTTTATTATTATTATGCATTTTATTATTTCTTATTATATCTTATCATTTTACACATGCTCTTCTGTCTTCTCTACAAAGGAAAAGTCCTTCCTGTCCTTCAAGTCTTGGCCCAAATGTCACCTCCTCAAAAAGACCTTCTATTTCCATACATGATCATCATTTCCATACATGATCATTGTGTCGTGCTCTTACTTCACGGCATTTGTCACGCATTGTAGTAAGTCATTTGTGTAATAGTTTTCTGTGCCCCTGCCCCTTCCTGCCCTCTCGGGAGCATCTGTGGAGCAAGCGGGAGCCTCGTCTATTTTTCTATCACACTATGTGGTGCCTGACCCTTTAATAGGAGCTATTCCTTGAGTGCATGAGTGAAAGATATGGGATCACATGCTTCTTTTCCATTATTTTCTCTATTCTAAAGAAACATAGCTGTGACATTTTTATAATAATATGTATTCTTTTTTCCAGTGGAACCATCTCATGCTCAATACCCTAACTTATAACCTGCACTCTTTCTTAACTTAAAAATATACTTCCACCAAAATGTCATTAAAATCTTCTACATATTTTCGCCATATAGTGAAGCGGTTAAGAACATGAGTTGCAGATTCAAACAGCCTGGGTTCGAATCCTGACTCAACAATGTTTTGCCCATGTGACTAAAGACAAATTACCCACTCTCTCCATGCCTGCTTCCTTATCTCTGGAAGGGAGCGAGGAGAAGTGCTGTCTGATAGGGTTGTCCTCCTTAGATGGATCAATACATGTCAAGCACTCAGAACATGCCTGGTACAGAGGGATCAATAAATGTTAGTTGCTGAGCTGCCGTACAAAATATCACAGTGGCTTAAACAGCATAAAATTTTTTTCTCGTAGTTTTGGAGACTGGAAAATCCAAGATCAAGATCAGGATGTCTTGAGGGTTGGGTTGCTGATGAGGAAGGCTCTCATGACTTTCAGACAACTGCCTTCTTGTCGTTCACATTGCAGATGAAGAAAGAGGGAGCCCTTGGGTGTTTATTCCTACGAGGACACTAATCCTGTTGGGTCAGCGCCCTATCCTTATGACCTCTGCTAACCTTAATTACTTCCTTGCTTCAGACACTTTCACATGGATTAGGCCATCAAAATAGGATGCCATAGAAATAGTTATTGTTTGGTTACTATTATTATATGCTACTGACAGGAAGTTAGCACCCTATAATGTTCATGTCACACACACACACATGGGCAGCAATGACTGTAAATCAATTATTATATTTCTATTTCCATAATAATTGGGTTATCCCATATATATATATATCAACAGGGAATATATTGATTTTTACTGCATTTGAATTATTTTTGCTCCTCTTTTTTAACTTACTACCATGTCTGTCCCCCAAACCTATTCCCTAGACCACTTTGGAACCCCAAATCCCAAAGGTTACTACCTGGGAAACATGATAAACTTATTTTATTCAGCATGAAGAACTTAAGTATGATTAAACATTTTGTCTAGAATCTGAGTATAAAACAGTTATGCCAGTAATTTGGGTCATTCTAGAATCCTGGAAGTTGGTGAAAATCTGAATGAGCTGGAAACCTTGTCCTAGTTACACTTATCTGGGAGTGTTGAGAATCCATTCTATTGCCAGAGCCTCAGTCCAAACTTGAGAGGACAGATGTGCAATCTTTGGGACAGGGAAGACGCTTAGTTAATTTTGGGGGGTGGGAGTAGACATTCTCTGCTCCTTCAGATTTGCCTTCTCAGACATAAAAGCCTCAGTTGATGTTTCTAGAAACCCAAGACACCCCTGGATGAAGCTGGCTTCTAGCATCTGAGTCAAATGGGTGATTCCCATGACCCTGTCCTCCAACTTCCTACCTGCATCACCGGGTCCTAGGAGAGGAGACACTCAGATGATCCAGATATGAATAACTTTTGTTATAAATTTTGAGACCAAGGCAAAACCCAAGCAGATGTTAAGTCATCTGATTTTAATGACAAAGCAATCATCACACAGTTCAAATTCTTAGCTTACTCAAGGTAAGGAGCCAGCTCTATAGTGGCCCCCTTAAAAAAATCAGTGTCCAATGACAGCTATCGGCTAGTTAGTACTTCCAACTTCGCACTCGACAGTGATTTTGCCAAGGGACATATTTTGGAAACATTTGGAAAGTGAGCTGCTAGCCATTCATTCAACCCATTTCGATGCAGACTTGCTATGTGTCAAGCGAGGTGCTGAGGATAAAGGTGAAAGAGAAAGAAGAGTTTGCTCCCTGGAGCTCCCGTTCCACCCGAGGGAGACAGAACATTTTCAAGGGAGCAAAGAAATCACTGAGGTGAATGGAAATAGAAGAAAACACAGTAATGTCCCCAAGAAAAGGGTTCAGGCTTCCTGAGACCATCTGCACAGAGACTGCATCTCCAAGGAGGGAGAGCTGAGCAGAGACTTGATAGGGAATCAGTGGAGTCACCCAAAACCTAGAGACATACCAAGAAGTCACAGCAAATGTGAAGCTCTGTTTTGAGAGGAAGTTTGTTCAAGGACAAAAAGGATGCTTTTCTGGAACAGAGTGAGCAGAGGTGGAAGGGGTAGGAGACAAATTGGAAAGGTACAGGGCACTCAATGCAGCAACTATTTCCTGTCCCGTCTGCACCTGGCACTCGGATCCGTGCAGTCTCGCAGGAGTCACCACTGGTGGTGTTAAGCCAGGATGACCAACTCGTCCCAGTCTGATTAGGACATTCCTGGTTGTAAACATGTAAGTTCTACATCCTGGGACCCCCTCACTCCCAGTTCCCTTAGGTTTGGCATTTCACATGAGCCAGACACCGAGTCAAATAGGTTTTCCATTACTAACTAATTCAATCCTCACGATGTCATGACATACAATTTCTTTCATTACTGCCAAATGGCTGAGGAAGCTGAGGGATAAAACAACCTATTCCAAGTCACCCAGCATGGAGAGAGGACCTGGATCCACACCATGTTCCTTTGACTCTGGTTGCTAAGCTCTTAGCCATGCACTGTATCTTAAAATCTGCACAACAAAAAACAGTTAACAAAGTGTTTGAAAGGGGATCCCCAGTTCCTGGCATTTCTGAACAGCATGTTGGTGTGAGTTTCTGTCTCATTCTAAAGGTGAGTATCTGCTCTGGGCTATGTATCATACTTGGACATCCGTAGCTAGGCATTCGCTACAGCGTTGAGAGCTGGGACCTGACAGAATATCCAGGAAGTGCCATTCAAACCAGCTCCCTGGGCTTCCCTGGATGTCTGATGCCTCTTTCTCCAAGGAACTCTGCCCTTCAGACACTGCAGTCTATGGAGGTCTTCGGGACTGGAAAATCTTCTCATCTTCTTGCTTATTTCTAAGGCATGTGCTCGACTCATTTATGTGACATGACAGTTCTCTGGTTACTGCCTTCTCAATCAAAACTGCAACTTTGTTTCAGAACTTTTTGATTTGGGGACAAGATATGACCTTTATGACTCATCAGTTGTAAACATATATCCAGTGGGTCAAAGGTGGTTCACTGGGGTACTTGTGGGGTAGTTGTTTGCTATGAACAGGGCTTTGCAACTTTTGAATCCAATATTTAAAAAGGGATATATTTTGCATTTAAAATAATTCAATTTCAAGTTTATATTGAAGACATAGAAGATCTGACAGCACTGGGGCTGTAATTGTACATAGTATCTCTCAGCTGGGTCTGAGCAGCTGTCACTGCTTTAGGCAGGGCACATGACATCTAGGGAACCACAATCCCCTCTACTCCAAACTGGCTCCCAAACATCAAAGCCAGCTTCGTTTGAACTGGTGTTTTCCTTCACTAGAGAAATATTCCTTTGGCCTTCGGTTGCTTCCACAACTGGGGATTGTGATTATTCTTGTCCATGACATCTTCTGTATTTTTATTTTATCTTTCTGGCCCCCATAGTTGTTTCAGTTCAAACAAATTATGGGGAAAAGGCTTTTATGTCCTAACAAGCTTTTTATAATCTATAATTTACCTAACATTTTCTAGAATTTTGGATTTTGCAGCTCCATCCTTCCAAATTGTAGGAACCAAGAGTAGCAGTGCAGACATTTCATTTCAGCATGAAAGGATGTATGTTCAAAACTAAAATTAAAATAGTCATTTTCTCTTGCTATTCTTTTATGAAGTGAAAGGACACTTTCAAACCAGAAATTAAGATAGACATAATCATGAAGGAAAGAACAGGCATCCCCAAGGGAAGTCACATGTGACTGCAAGTGGGAGAAACCTTCTCAAAGCTGGCTTAGACACAAAAGGTCTTCAGGAACAGCTAGATCCAGGGGCATACACGGTGCCACCGGTACATGGGCTCTTTCCCCCCTTCTATATCTCTCAGCTCTGCTTTTCTCTGTGTTGTCTTCCTTTTCAGGCAGATTTTTCCTGGAAATGGTGGTGGCTCTGGAAGCTCCAGGCTTGTATATTCACACTTAAAATCCAACAGAAAGGAACAGACCTCTGTCTTCCTTGTTTTAACAAAGATCTGAAATTAATATCAGTCTTATCCTGAACCAGTCAGAGCAGCCCCATCACAGGCAATGCTCTGATTGGCCAGGCCTGATTCACATGCCCTTGACCAGGGGTTGAATTAGTTTGTTTAAATCACGTGGAATGGATGACAGAAGGGTGGTTCCCCAAGGAAAACCCAGGTTCTACTTCCAAACGAAGTAGGAAATAATGCTTGCTAGGAAAACATACATTAATTGACAAATTATTAGATAAACAAACAAATGTCCCCTACTGTGGCCTTGTACCATAATAAGTATTTGCACATTTTTCTTATTTCTTTTTCATTTCACCCAGGACTCATGAAAATGCCATCCAACATTTGAACATCTCTATTTTAACATATTTATTCACCTGCTATTGAGAGTTGTCTTGCAGCCACTGAAAACGCATTTCGTTTGAACTTGCTGCAGACATCGGACTCAGCGGAGAAGGCCCTCACACCACCAGAGGCTGAACCAGCCGGAGCGGGCCCGAAGGGCAAAGAAAGCTCCTCTAAGGACAAGAAAGCGGCGGCAGAGGCGAGCAAGCAGAAGAACACCAAGCAGGAAGCCCAAGGACCAGCCCCGAGCGCGGAGCCCCTGAACGCGGAGGTGAATTCGCTGCCCAACGGAGAGAAGTCCCAGAGGAGACCCGAGAAGCGGCGGCAGTCCCTGGGGGGCTTCTTTAAGGGCCTGGTAGGTGGACTGCTCACCTCTTCTATCTGGGCTCTAGGGCCAGGGACGATGTTCCCGCCTCTGAAGGGGACCGGCTAGAGGCTGGCTGGACTTTTGTCAAACAAACGTTTGTTGAGCATCTACTGTGTGCCAGGCGCTGTGCTAAGCGGAGAGCAGGATGGATGCAGGCACTGCTGTGCTCGCTGACAGTCAGCGCAGGGTTGAGGGGATGGGGCTGCTGGGCGTAGGAGCAGGAGTGCGACTGAGGATGTGGCCTAGGTTGGGTTTGAGAAGATTGCCAGGGAAGGCTTCCCAGAGGAGGTTCCTTCCAGGGTGGGCCTCACACTAACCTGTGGAAGAGGGCAGGGGTGGCCTGAAGGCAGAGCATGCCGGGTGGTGGAGCAGCAGGTGCATAGGTGTGTGGGAGAGACAGCACAGAGCTCACGTTCAGCAGGGCTAGAAGGGGGAACACGGGGAGAGGTGGGCAGGAACAGGAGTCCCTCTGTGCAAACGGCTCTGAGCCTGACCCTGGGTAGTGCGCACAGACAAGGTTAAACGGAGCTCCTTCCCTCCAGGGACGCCCAGCTGGGGGTGAGCAGAGGCCAGAGGCATTAAACAATTATTTGTGCCTGTATTTGTGCCTTTTTGCTCCTTTCTGTCGGCTCCCCTAGGCTGTTCACTTTGGGAGGCCAGGTGCCATGCCTGTCATGGGGCAGACCTGCTGTCCCCCTGCCCCCCGTGTGGCCGCTACGGCACAGTAGACACCCAATAAGTGTTTGCTGGATGAATAAATGGATGGAGTGAAATATGACACTAGTAAATTTTTCCTTATATTTGGCATAATACAAACCCTGGCAAACAAGGAGAGTGTGAAGGTCATCACTCAGTTGATAAGCAAGGTGATCAAACATCAGCTAAGAGGAGAAAATGATGAAGTCATATGCAGGCCCCATGGACTGTGGGTTGAGCCAGAAGGACAAAGCAAGGAAATAACATGGATTCCAGCTATGCAGCCAGGGAATTGGGCCTAACTTTGCTGTTGGCAATAAAGACGGGGTAGTTGCTGAAGCACACGGCTGTCACCCACCTGATTGTTCGGAATTACCCCGTTCAGTGAACACCTGGAGGCACTGGTGACCTCTAACAGGTGGGGCAGGTGAGGGCACTGATTCCTGAGGCCCATATTTGGTCTCCAGACCAGCACCTCTATGGACCATAGTGGAGATGCAGAATCTCAGGCCCCAAGTTTAAAGTCATATGATTAAGGCCATCGTATTCTGTCTGGCCTCTGGGTGCTTGAGGATGTGTGTAGGTAGAGCCACAATTTGAGATCGTGTTAAAGTCATGATGTGAGCTTGTTTGAAAATTTGAGGCCCAGCACAGAGCACCCCTGGCTCTCCCCAACGCCCCAGGTACAAGGCCCTTCTTGGGCTTTAAAGATGCGTTGAAGGAGGTAGATTGGCCATCCACAGGGGCGGGCGTGTAAAGACTGGGCACACTTCGGGTGGTCGATTTACAGATTTGTCTCTGTCCTCAGCTCTGGCTCCTTAAAGAGGAACGTAAACCCTGATCACACTTTTCTCAGACATTTCCAAACTACCTGCACATTTTTGTGCCTACAGTTTTGTCTGAACCCTTACCTGCCGAGCTGTGGTGCCCTGGGTGGCATCTAGCCTGAGGAGACGCTGTTCCAGAAAGGCTCTGGGTGCATAAGCCCCAATCCTCTCTCCCTTGGGTGGTTCTCAGTTGGGTTTTTTTGTTCATTTGTTCTGGTGTTTTGTGTCAGAGGCCCACAGGGCATTCTCTGCCTGTCTCCTTACCCATGGAATCCCTAGATCTAACGGGATGGATCTAATGCCATGGTTCTGAACCAGAAGGGATATTGTACATGGGAGACGAGCTCACGATTCAGGCAAAGTGGAGACAGAGCTCAGATCCACCACTTACTAGTGGAAAAACCTGATTTAAGTATCTTGTGCTCGCTGATCTTTCTCGTCACAGTGACAGTGAGAGTCATAAGGCGCCAATTCATAGGGTGCTGTGAGGACCTGGTGTGGTCACAGCTCTAAGACCCGTGACACGGATGGAACAACAGGATGGGAATTGACTAGAGGTCATTAAACCTGAGAGCGACAAACAGCCCTGAGACCCAGTTACGGCTGACCCCTGAGCCCACACTCTCAACATCCCATTTGTCCTGGTCGCCTTTCCGCTCCCAAAGACTAACGTGACACATTACATAGAGCACACACTCCATACATGTTGCTGATGAATGAATAACAATGACAAATTACAGTAACAATAATGCATTCATAGCACTGTGACAAATGACACTCTGAACACTTCACATATGCTAACATTTAATCTTCACAACCACTCTCTGTATCTCCATTTTCCCAGTGGTAAAATCAAGGTGCAGAGGGTTGAGCAACTCAACCACAGTCAGGCAGCTAGGAAGTGGCAGACCTGGGGTTCAAAACCCAGCAATCCAGTGGTAAATTGCACGTCATAACATGCCACTATAGAGTGCATAGTTAATACTATACTGCTCTGTATTATGCTCTGCTGTGTATGCTATCCTACAGGATACTACATATGTACTATATCTACCTGGAGACATCATATATATTATACTATATTCACCTATACTGTATTCACTATGGTACACTAGTATACTGCATGTTATCCTATATATGCTGTGCTATACTACAGGACACTGTATGTATATACTGTGTATATGTGATTTACATAGTATATACATATACCATATATACTATGTAAAATGCATTTACTATAATATACCATATATACTATGTAATATATGCTATATATATATTATGCTGCACTGTACTAGCTCTATTTAGCACTCTAGGCTTCACTATATATATAATATACTGTACAATGTATACCATCCTATATTATAATATCCTATATTACAGTGCTATTACTATAGGTTTACTATCCTATACCACATATACTAAATTATACCATCTACATACACTATATATACTTATTACACTATATGTTATACTATATACTATACAACTACATATAGTTTACTATATAATACTGCTCTTTAATATATACATATATATGCTTTACTGTACTGTATATACTACCCTATATTATCCATCCTCCCTATCTATATGTGCCATACTGTAAAACAGGGCCACGATAGTACTCCTGATACATACAGCAACATGGACGACTCTCAGGTCCATCAGGCTGCATGAAAGAAGCTGGACTCAAAGGCTGTGTAGATTCTTCCATTGATGTGACATCCCGGAAAAGGCAAAACTCAAGGGAGGAAGAACAGATCTACATCTTTATTTTGGTTACATGACCATTTGTGTTTGTCAAAGCTCATAGACCTGCACACACAGAGTTAATTTTACTGCTTGTAAATTACACTGGACAGAAAAGGTAAAATGATAATAACAATAGTGATAATAGTTTTTGACTCATTGAGTTTATTCAACCACACTCAGTCAATACTAACGAGTACCTGCGAGGCACCAGGCACCTGCCAGGCTCTGAGCAAACACTAGACAGAGTCCACAGAGCTTCCATTCTGGTGGAGGAGACAGATCACATAGATAATATCATTTCAGATACGATATGTTTCATACGAAAATTAAAGAGGGTGGTTTGGTTAGAAAGGGGTCAGAGAGGCTGGCTAACGTGAGCTATAGTTGTGGAAGGTCTACACCCCAGGCACTGTTCGAAGTGCAACACATGTATGAACTCACTTTATGTAGGAACAACCCTCTGAGATAAGGCATATCACCCCATTTTAAAGATGAAGAAACAGAAGCACAAAGAATTAAAGCACAAGATTTCACAAAGCTAGAAAGTAATATAACTGGGGTACTGAACACGGGCATGTGCTTGAGACCACTGTCTTATCCACCACCTGTGAGCAAGGGCTAGCAATTTGGCACAGCACCGGCACAGAGTAAGTGCTGAGTAAATGACATTGTAGCTGTGATGCCCTGAATCTTCATTAGGATGCACCTTCTTTTTCTCCAGGGACCAAAGCGGATGCTGGACGCTCAAGTGCAAACAGACCCCGTATCCATTGGACCCGTTGGCAAACCCAAGTAAACAAACCTCTACAGTTCCCACCAAGTTCTCCTGCCACCAAGATGTCTTCTCCCAATCCACCTCCTCCCCAAGCCCACTCCATGTATATATTTTTCTTCTGATGGCCATTGAATGAAATTCTGCCTCCAAATTAAGCCTGAGCTGTTGTATATTGAGGTGTATTATTTATGTCTCTGGTCCAGTCTTTCCTGGTAAATACTGTAAAGATGGCTTAGCAGGTTAACTAGGCAGGTCAGAAGAGTTGAAGGTTGTCAAGCACAGGGGGGAAGGGGTGAAGGAATGCATTCTGGTTAAGTTGTGAAAACAGCAGTGACAAGTATGTGGCAGAAGAAAAATGCCTGCTGGAAGGAATTAAGCGTTGCAGTAAATTCGTGCTCATCCTCTAAGTTTGAGGAGGAGAGACGAAAAGTTTGCCTAAATTTGAGTTTCAAGGGGGGAGAATATGGGCTCTGTGTTGGGAGATTGCCAATTTCCTGGAATGGAATGTGTGGGGAATGAAAAGGAATTCTTAGAAGTTGTTTTTCACATAGGGCCCTGGAAAATTGTTGATGGGAGGGAGAAGATTGACTGGATTTGTGGAAGCAATTGCGTTTTGAAGCTCAGTGACAGGGGCAAGGATTACAACTTCAGAACAAAACGCACCAAAATAAATGAAGTTGCAAGTTTATTTTTCGACACAAGGGGGCGCTGAGGTCTCCATCCTGTATCCCTAACAAAGATGTGGTCTCCGCAGTCTTACATTATTAATGTTTCTCAGATGGCTGAGGGGCTTGCTTCATCTGTTCTGTCTGACACTTACCTCAAGTCTGTCTGTAATTTCCTAATGTTCTCAGGATGTGTTCCGATAAAACCCTCCCCATAACCCCTAGTTAATAAAAATGTTCAGATTACTCAAATACCTGAGGTTTTTTTTTTAATACTTGTACAGAGGAATAAACAGGACCTCGAGTCTATTAAAATGTAATTCAAAGTAGCATATGATTGAATTATATCATGTGTACTGTATCTTTCTGATTTAATAAAAAAATGCATTTATATTGAAAGCATCTTTTAATTTTCAACTTTGGAAACAGTACTCTTGTACTCTTTGACATGCCTTTATCTTTGACTGTAAAATCAGTGTTCTTCCCCCATCTTGTCTTCCCTTCCAGATCCTCCTAGATTTCCTTGTTTGTGGGCACCCACACATATGCATGTGTGCACACATATATATACATATACACTCACATACACATATATAAAAGTACTGCCTTAGGCCAGGCTGCCTAGAGCAGAGCCTGAGACAGGGATTCTGATGCATGAAATACACTTAGGGAGGGCTCCCAGGGGACAGAGACAAAGAAACAAACAGGTCAGCTGGGAGCTGAGCAAGGATTGGTCTCAGCTGGAGTCGAGTTATGTCCTGATCTTTAGAGCATGCATTACACCATATGGTTGGTTCTACCCTGCAGAAAGCGGGCCAGCCTTTGTACCTTGTCGGTGAGTTATGGGGCACACTGGGAGGTGGTGGGACAGGCAAGCTGCTCGCTTGGAGCTGAGAAGCTGGGATCCTTTCCAGACAGAGGATAAGGGCTTCACCAATGTCCACTCCAAATACACATATATATCATCAGATATGTATGTATACCCACCAGGAACACGTTCATACATATAAATACATTATATACAGGAATAAATAGGTATATGCACACATTCAAATAACACACTTGCAGACAGACACATGGACAACACAGATCCACACATCCGCACTGGCTTACAAACCCATCACACATGTGAATGAAGGAACACTGACTATAGTCTCTTGACAAGTCTGCACCTATGGCAAATAAAACCATGGCTTTGGCAATGAAGCGTTTGGAAAACGGGTTCAGGAGGAAGAAAATCTCTCTAAAAAACCAGATTTGGGGGGCACTTAGGTAGCTGGTGCCTGCCCGTTCTCAGCTTGCCCTGCCCGGGTGCTAGGTTTCAGATGAAGACCATACACAGGTCGTGTCCTTGCAGCTACGTCAGCTCTTCAACCCTTCTGCCCAAACCTGGAGATGGCTTAGTGTCTGTGACTCACGCAGTTGAGCATGAACTCGTGCTGTTTCATGTCAGAATGCTTAACTTGGCACAAATCAGGAAAAACCCCTTCAGGGGAGCTCTTAGCAGGCGATGGCTTTCTCTCCACCATCACCATCAAAGAACATGGGATAATTCAAGGAAGCCAGGCAGCTGGTTATTCCTTTGTTTCCAAACACTAGCCAGGTTATGTGGGGCAACCTCCGGTGAGCTGGTGAGCTCTGGGCCATACCAGTCCATTGAGAAAGGTGACAGTGTCATTTGCAAGTTTCACCACACGGCACATAGGGGCTTTTTGCCCAGATAAGAAATGCCTCCTGGCAGCACTGGGTCACTAATGCACAGGGAACCCTCCCATTCCCTATCTCCCTGGAGAAAACTTTAAAAGAGGTTTTTTGCTGAGATTCTCTTTGCAAAACATGCCAACAGTTTCTGTAACTGGTTTCCTATCCTCCTGGCCAAAAAAGAGAGCAATCATTTAATGAAATTGTGTTTTGGGGTTTTTTTAAGGCAAGAAAATTTAAGTCAGAGCAGAGTCAAAAAATGACTTTACTTGGGGGATTCTAAACCCAACTGTAACCTTTAAAGCAAGTTAAAATTCTATCTTTTAGTTTTGTTGGGGAGGGGTTGCTTGCTTAGTTGAGAGCCCATGGCCAAAGCATTTAGAGTAAATACCAATTTCTACTCCTCTTTAGCTGAAATAATGCAAAAAGAGCAGAAAAGAAACTCTCCAAATGAGCTTAGGGAAGCTCCTGGGGCACAGAATTCACAGGGATTGGTGCCCCTTATAACGCAGAGCCCAGAAATACTACTCAGACAGCAAAACAGGAAAAACACCTGAAACAGACAGAGAAATTAAGACTGAAGTTGGGGTGGGGGTGGGAGGTCACAGGGGCCTCTTTAAAAATGTATATACTCATTAACTTGTTTACTTATTCAATTTTAGATGTCCAGGGAAGTGTATCTTCTCCAGTGTCAAGAAGAAGTGGCTTTTCCAAGAACTCAGCTATTGAGCTGAAATGGATGCCTTGGGAAAAAACAAAACACAAACAATTCTGCTTTCCAGTTCCAGCTGATGGTGATGCTTGGACTGAGCCATACGAGAATTCATTCAAAAGCAAGTTGTTCTCAGCAGCCCATGCGGCCCCTTGTGAATTCATCATCTTGGGGAAGGGGCCGCATACCTAAAGAAATGCCAGAAAGAGACAGAAAAGAGGAAAATGAAGTTCTCGGGGTTTTGTTGAAGCCCTGCTCTTTAAACAAATGATAGGGGATTTACACACACACACACACACTCGAGCTGGATGGTCCCTGTTTGTTTGCAAACAGTCCAGATGCAATGCGGGCCCATCAAATTAGCCTCCATGAAGCGAGAATCTAAGACCTCCTGACTCCTTCTCAAAGTGCCTGGAAGGGAGATTTCTATCATCCGGATCTGACTAATGTCATTTCTTACGTCAAATAGTCCCAAGTAGATGTTAAGCCACACAAAAATAAAGTCAGCTAACCTGCCTACTTTAAAAAGATGGACAGGAAAATGATTTCAATTATTAACTCACCCAACCTGCAGACGCAGGGCACGCGGTGTAGAACTGTAAAATGATGAGGGTCGCTTCAGCCATCCTCTCAAGGTTCCTTTTGAAGCCTTTTAAAATGGCAGTTCGCATCGTGAGTAGAATTAGGCTCCTCTGCGGTCCAGATTTTGTTCACTCCATCAGTGGAAATCAAGTGCACGGGTCCCCTGAAAATTACCAGCTCCGTTAGGAAGTAAAGAAATTACTGGGCAGCAGATTCTGTAAATCTGTAATTCAGATCCTGCACGCTGGCCTGGAAGCCGCCAGGATCCAGCCCTCTGCATAAATTGGTTTTCTGGGGGAGTTTAACCCTTTCGCCTCTGCCTCCCTTCCCCAGAGGGCTCCTCCTTCCAGCCTGCCCAACCCCTGGCCCTTTAACTTGCCAGAGCCACGTGGTACTCCATGCAATTTCACAGAAGTGAGGATAATAATAATTTCTTATATTATCACACTGTACAGTTTATAGAATGCTTTCTGAATACCTTGTCTGCTTGAAAGCGGTATGCCCCTAACTGAACTGAATTGGCTCCTTTGTTACAATTATGAGGGGCTGCAATGCACCCGTATGGCTTTTTATTTTTCTTCTTCACAAAATGGCTCCCAGCTGCATTTCCGGCAATGATCGCCACTGAAGAAATTCATCGCTTACGTGACTTACTCTCAAAGAAGGACGTTTTTGTTTAGCTCCGGCCACATGGGGGAGTTGCAGGACCGAGGGTCCTACCGTCTCTAGCTGGGCCCTCTACCCTGATCGCCTCACCTGGAGGTTGGGCCAGCAAGCTCTTAACAATGTGATTGTTGATTAACTTCTAGAACACGGTCAAATTTAATGAAGAAAAAGAGAACAAGAGAGCCAGACTGGGCAAGTCATTTGCCTTCTGTGTTTCCCAGCCCCCAAACAGTGAGAAAGTGGGACATTTGATTTTTCCATCCTTATCTGCTCAGTCTTGGAAGGTGCTTAAGGAAGGAGAGCATAATTGCCAACCGGTGTCCTTGCAAAGCATTTAAGTCACCGTGAGCAGCTCGTCATGTTCTACAAAGCCGCCTTACCTCTCATGAGTACGTGCCCCGCCAGGTGGCAAATGACGCAAACTCTCCACTTCCTCCCTAAAAGATGGGATAATGACGCATACTGGGTGGCTTTGCTGGGAGCCCGGAGAGAGAGAGCATGCCAAACACTTCATACAGTGGCTGGCATATAATAAGCACTTGGTAAACGAGAGCTATTATAGGGAATTTTTAGCACCCAGTAACAGAAAAATCCTACTCAAACTGGCTAATAACAATGATAATAACAGTAAGAGTATTTATTATGTCACATAACAGGTGTCATGTCACAGCTTGGCTCTAACGCTCTGGGGCTCTGCCATGTTATATGGGTCATCTGCATCTAAACGATGGCTACAGTTCCAGACAAGGGGATTATGGGGTTACCATATCGGTCTTGATTTATCATTTTGGTGAAATGGAGAAAACAACTACAATGATACAATACACAGTAAAGCAATCATTAATATCAGTATTCTTCAAGTTAGCCATTCCCCAGACCAACCACATCTCTTTGATTCAGATTGAATTGAAGACATGTGTGGTCACAATGCCCCAGTGACTCATCAACCTCAGGGGCCTATTGTCCATGTCTAGCGCCTGCCCAGGCAGAGCAATACTCAATAAATATTGGCTGGTTGGATGAACTGATAAATATTTTATGGTCACATCCATTGAGAATGGGCTGCCTTATGCTCCAGCAGGAGTTCATTTTAGCACCGTTTGACCCCTCTCATCAGACATCCATAGTCCGCAGGTGGCCAGCCCAGTGGTTCTCAGAGTGTGGTCCCATGATGATAAGCATCACCTGAGAACGAATTAGAAATGCAAATTCTCAAGCACCACGCCAGACCCACTGGATCAAAAGCTTTGGGGCTGGGGCCCAGCCATCTGTGTTTGAACAAGCCCTCTAAGCAGTCCTGCTGCCGAGAAAATTTTAAAACTACTGCTTTGGGTAGAGTTACTTCACTGAGCAGTAACTAAAAAAGAGCAGACTTGAAGGTACGAAGATACTAACAGCTAACACTGGACCTTGCTACCTGCCAACCATTGCACGTCACACGACTTACCTTGTTTCCTACCCATTTTACAGGTGAGGAAACTAAAGGTCAGAGAGAAGCAAGTTTTCCCAAGGACATGTGTCAGAGCCAAGGTTGAAACCCAACCTGAGTTCCTAAAGGCATGTTTTCATGTCCGTGGGAGAGACAGGCAGGCAAAGGACAAGAACAAGGTAAGGTAAGGAAAGTAAATACAAGGTGTTGCGGGACTCAGAGGAAGGTACTGACATAGGACTACAGGGGCTGGAGCCTGGCCGTTCAAGGAGGCGACAGTTGAGCTAACTTACAAAGAATCAGTGAGTT